CTCGTCTTCCCTCAACTGGACAGTTTGTCTGAATGCATCAGCGAGTGCAAGATGAGAATAATGGGATTTTGTGATTTTTATGTGGCACATATTCGAGACAATCGTATTGAATAATTAGAGATGGGACGTTCTGTCTGAAGTAATGTGGATCAATTGATGCAATAAACACGTGGGTTGTGCAGGAGGAAACAAGCCACAGATCATGGTGAAACTTGGTCGTATTTTTGAGACTATATGAATTTATCGTTTGGCGGATTGAATTTGCGAGGGGAAAAAAGTTATATGAATTGAATTGTGAGCTATAGTGAAACACTTGGACATTTCCCAATAGAATTATTTATCCATTAAATCTATTTTATGCTTTAATAATTCCACCACTTTACTCCTATCACGTTCGATGACGAAAGTCTGGCTGTCTTGCTTTACATGGAAATGATATGGAAAAATAGACAGATGAGACTTTCGAGTCCTTGATTCATCACCTCCTAATATTGCCTCTTAATTCATTTTGAGACATTTACAATGCAACTCGGGGATTAAATTTTATGTACTCCCGCTCACAATTTGCTGTTTAATATTGATTAAATTTGGGGTGTTGGAGTTTTTGATGGCATCTCGAAAGGCAACCACGCGAAATATATTTAATTAAAATTGTTTGAGAGATATTAAATTGCAATCTCACAGTCCTCTTTTGCCACTCTTACGAGAAATATCACAATTTACCGTATATAGAAAATGTGTGATTTTTCTCCGCCTCGTGGATGAACTCACAATATGTTTAATTCATAGGAAGAGTCATACTTCGTTGTAAAGTATAATAATGCAAAAGAAATATCGACTGGACTAAATATTTATCACTCCTCTCTGTTGGCGATCTCTGCAAACTTTATTGCTTTCAGTGAAATATTTAAGCATTGCCAAAGAGGAAGAGATGGGAAATATTTGGAAAGCTCTATTCAATTTCACGAAAATAATTAAGCATATAGTCGTTACAATTGGCTTCTCTTCCTTCTTGGCATCCGCAGAAATAATTTCTTCTCTATCTTCTGCGATTCATCACTTTCGCTCGTGTGTAGCTTTTGAATGAGATTCTCAGATGCAAATATCGAATTAATTCTGCCTTTTGTGACTCAACAGAACCACAGAGAATTGCAGAGACAGATGTGATACAATTACGATGTTTGCTCTCCCTTTGAGGCACTGAGAGAATATTTTAAATGTCAATTTGTCGCTATTCTTTTGGCATTGAGTGTGAAGAATAAAGATAATCACGAGCAAATTTTGCCTCGTGTGCATTGTCCGCAAAGGAAAACACTTTTTGTCACCGCACAGAGGAGGAAGATGCATGGTTTGAGAAATTCGCAGGCGGCTGAGTTGCCTCAAGTCTCATCCTCGTTAGCATCTCAGTCACAGTTCAAGCTCCCGAGCTCACAAATCTATGAAGTAACGAAAATGAAAGTGACACGATGCGGTGTGTGATTAACTTCGGAAGTTAAAGATGGTGAAGTGAAGACAAAATATGCAATGGCACATAAGAAAAATTAATTAGATTCTCTTTTTCTCTCTCTCTCTCTCTCTCTCCACATTTTCCTCCTTTGTGTTTTTTCGGGCTTCGACTCTTGCCATATCGCTGAGAGCTCTGCTATTGCGGCGCTGGAGTTTAGGTCAGAAGGCAAAAGTATGGCACGGAATGAAAGTCAATTTTACGCAAATTAGATTTGCTGCCATCATCGAGAGGCGTCCGTCTGTTTATTGTTAATAATAATAACAGTAATTAAATCATTATGCATAATAGTGAAATAGTCATTCGACATTTAAACTAATATCTCTCTGTGGTTTTGCTCGTTGATGGCTCATGTACAGGGAAAAAAGAGCGCGCTCAAGATGACTCAAGCCACAGAAATATGCTGAATGCTTTTTCTCAATACACAAACTATGACACAAGACTGAAATGATCATTTTCTACACCAAACATACAAAATTGTGATAAGAAAAAGATCCCCTGAAATATGCATTACGCAGTTTATACCACAAATTGCAATGGAGAATTAATTCACATCTTTAAAAATTCAGTATTACAAGTGTGGTTGTTCGCAGTGAAATTAATTAGAGGTTTATTCGATGGTATGATTTTGCAATCTTCCCCTCAAATCCACGTTTCTCAGTCACCCAGCTAAAATACAGAAACCTGTCCTCGACCAATTTCTTTACAACATTTTTCGGTGTTTTAATTCTAAAGAGGAAGGAAAGGCCGATTTGTAAAATGTCTGGCTTTTTTTTGTTCTGTCTCAGGTGGAATTTTATTTGTCTCAATAAATTTACTGTCATACACAGACAATGTGAGTGTGAATAACAGAAAAATGCTAATTTCTCGAAATTTGACAGAATTGCACAAGATGTGCTGAAAAATTTTACAGTAGCCGGAATATTTAAGCACTCCGATTGATTCAATTATTCCATTCAAACTTATCACTCATGTAAATATGAAATATATTCATTGAGCTATTAGATGTCTAATAACTTGCAAACATTTGCTAAATGCCGTCTCATCTGACAAGATTATAATCTTCATTGTGATGATTACGTACTTATTTCCACGACTGTGTCTACTGGCAGAGCTTCCACTGACCACAATCTCGATTCTCTTGCAAGCGCTGGTCTCAAGTGTGATGCTCGAGGGTGTGAAGGCAGAAAGAAGAGCTCAAAGCTGTTGTAATTTGCGTATGATAATCGCACTGGAGGTGCCCTATAATTAAATGTAGTCTAATGGCCTAATGAGAGTTACAAAGGATGAATTCTATGGGTATATAACACGCATCAGTTGAGCAATTTCGCAGAAGGTAAAGCAATATTCACAGTCCGTTTAATTGAAAGAGACAGCCGAGGGTGTTGCAATATGTCTCTATGAAGAGCTCCACATAAATTGTGGATTTTTGGGCTGTGGTGCGAGGTTAGTTATCTGATTTATTGGCGACAACCGGAGGGTGTATTGTGGTTATTTTGCAAAATGCATTGTCACAAGCACACATGATATGATGTCAAGATCATCAAGATCACTGTGATGGATGGCAATTAAGCGTTAGATCACAAGAATAATGTAGCAAAAATTCAAGCGCGCGGCATCTCTTGCATAGCATACGACATGCATCATAGGACAATAGATCTTGCGTAAAAGATTTTCCAATGCGGGGAGAGCATAAAGAGAGAGAATATTGATAATTCTCTATAATTAGTTTATCTCGTCATTGAGAGGGAATTCACGGGCACCTGCCCTAAATTGCATTAGATCAGCAACAATGGGGCTCAGCCATTGTGGTGAGTTGTGTGAACTTGAGAGGTAACCAATTTAAAATCTTCTTATGTTACTCCGCAGCAAAACGTTTACAGTCTTTTCCCTTTGATGAGATGCCGCTCGTGAAAAACTCCATGAATACCAAGATGACAATCAAACTCTTGGGAACGAATCAATTGCACAGTTTGATGCTTAATTTTTAACATTATACGATTACTGGATTACTCTTTGTACACAAATAGCTAACAAGTGTTCGATTATGAAGATAATTTTCTGTCAGTCTAGTGATGGCGATTAATCTATTTTCACTGCCAAATGACATGGTTGACAACGGAATTCCATTTCCCGCGATAAATCATTGGCTAATTGATAAATTCTGAGTTGCTGGGCGTGGAGAACAAATGAGAAAAGGTAGATTCATTGATTTCTCAAGGCAAAATTGGCGTCTAAAGATGAACTTTGCTGCAGAGATTCGCATTGTTGAGAGCTATTCTTTTGATTGTTTAGCATACATTGAAGAGATTTGCGCTTTGATTGGATAGAACAACCATTTAGAAAATAATAATTTACAATAGGATTGACAGCAAAAGAATCGGTAGCGATCGAAATTGGCTGAATTGACATTGTTGTTATGAAACTTTCGTGCAAAATATTGGAAAATCTCCTCAATTTAATAAATTTGCATTAATTCATGCGCGTTTGCAGTCTCACTGCCAGCTGAAGTTTCGCACAAGGAAGTTCCTCATCTGAATTTCTCTCTTCAACATTAATTGCCCCCACTGGCCATGATACGACAGTTCTTTCAAACTGAAATTCTGCCTTGTGACGCGAGCCGTCTGCAAAAAAATGTGCAAATCAATTTCTGGCGAAAAATAGAAATTATCTTGTCAGTTAATGTTGGTATTAAGGGTTCAGTGCAGCTCACTTGTGGCTGTGATTGCGCTGGCGGCCTTGGGAGATTGTTCCAAAGGTTGATCATTTGTGGTGAACTTTTCGCCGAAGGACGAAATGTGCAGCTTTTCCGCTCATTATTGTGTGTGTGCATAGTGTGCAAAAGGCTCTGGTCAATTAATCAAACGACGGCGGTGTGGAGAGATAAGGATTTTAACGAGATGGCACATCCAATTAGGCGCGAGAGCGCTCCCTTTCGCGCTATGTGGGACAAAAATTGAGTGAGATATTGGTAAACTTTGCCTGTTGAATAGACGCGCCGAGAGATCATCCTCGACATTTTGCGACCTTGCGCGCGGCGATCGAGCGGAGGGACGACGAGAAGGGAGGCGCGACCACCGAGTGGATGATGTGTGAGAAAAACCAATAAACCAAGGGATCGCTGTGATTGATTGATGAAAAATTGGTGGCACGCATCGAGCCGACAGTGCGGCCAGAGTCTGTGTGCCAGGAGCGATGGGAAAGAGTGTGTCTGATGGCTTGAGATCGTCTCTCACCTGGGGAGTACCCCTTCTCTCGATCATCTCGACACTTGCACGATACTTTTCCACATTGTTTCATGCCTCTTGCGAAGCGGCCAGACATTTGTTTTCGCGGTGTACGGGCTCTTTTCCGCGCCGTGGAGTGGGTGGCAGTGGTGGTGGCGAATGCTGCGCATGGGAGGATGAATTTGGATTGGTGACTGTGAATCATTGACGCGGGAAGCTTTTGCTGCTCCTCTCCTTTCATATAAATACCCATCAAAAATCATGGCAGAATCAGTCCTCTGCTAGACTTTGTCTTATACACCCCAACAAATACTCACTACACCTCACTTCGTACACAGGCGAGGTAATAATAAATTAAATATTTCCACTGTACAGGATTCCGCGAAAGTGTGACTTACTCGTGTGATGTTGTTGTGATCCTTCTGGAATATATAAATATCCCTGAAATCCACGGAATATTATGATAAAATCAGTGCTAATGGTTAATCCTTTCCTTCTTCTCGAACAGGTCCTTAAAAAGTACCTTTAGTAATCCCCGTGATCTGCATCAACACCATGCATAAGTTGTCAATTCTCATTGGTGAGTCCTCAAGCTTGTTTTGTTACCTTAGAGAGAGCATCTTATTCAATCGCTTAAATGAGAGTGCTTTTGATATGCTAATCGCAACACATCATTCCCTTTTGACTCGCGTGAAATACACTAAAATACGCGATTAATCATGACTAATAGACGCCCGCATAAAGCGACTCATTAGTCTTCTCCTCTCTATAACACGCCAATGGGCGCCAGAGAGACAAAGTGTCTGATGGAGAAGGCTTTCTCTAAAATGGACTTTTCGCGGATAAATCTCTGGAAAAAAGATGATGTAAAAGTGAGGAATTTCTGTGTTTTTCATTAACTTTTGATCCGTCAATGATGCAATATTGGCTGTGATGGGAAAGAAATCGGATATCCGGTTCATCTCCACGCACTTGTGAAAAAGCTCGATCACCTCAAGATCATCTTCGGCCTCACAATGAGCCATTTGCAAGTTAGAGACATCATCTGAACAGCGAAAGAGTGTTCTCTGGCAAATGGGATAGAATATGCAAATGCTTGAATTTTTTCCCTGATTTTTCCATCGACTCCCAGTGTTTGCGATCGCGGCCAGAGAAGAGCATACCTTATCGCGGTACATGATCTGAAGCCACACACACACCGTGTTTTGCAATAAATTTTCCGATGAGGAGAGGGAGAAAGAAGATTCCGATCAGGCCATGCGAGGCAATGAGGTTGGCTATTGGCACTTTTTCGGATGCCATTGACTATCGTCAGTCCATAAATCCTCCACTCTGTGACTCTGGAGTTGTGGGTCCGTGACACCAAAAATAGCTCAATCACACTTCCTGCCGGACAGCCAGAGCCTCCCAAGTGGGATCAGCGATCACACTATTTTGCAATTCACTAGCCCTCGTCCAATTAATGTCAGCCACACTCTCGTGGTGGATGCAGAGTGGCTTTGAGAGGAAAATGGGGTGTATGTCGCAATGGAGCGGATCAGATGAGGCGCGATGGGAACCACAGAGAGAGCGAAGTGTGCTCAAAGAGTCGCGCAATAGACAGCGTGTCTTTTATTATTCCCTGATTCTCAAAGCTGATGGTGTTTTCGAGAGGGCTTTCGGCTTTGCTGCACTAAAGATCCATCCATGGATTGTTAAGTGTTTCGGCGCAGCAGATTTTCAGTGCAAATTTCACGAATTGCAAGCAAACACAGGTCATTTTCTCACGAATACAGATCACTAACAACAAATATTATTATTGAAAACTGTTGTTTGCTCTGCTTTGGTTTGGGATCACAATCTTAATTTAAAATCTTACTTTCATATTAGAATTATGCATTCATTGCCGTCAATATTGCAAAAAAATAGTGCCAAATTACGTCAATGCGACACTGACACTGCATCGCCTCACAATTATAATCTTCCCCTTGGTGAATAAATTTCACAGGCGTTTTTCGTCACTTGTAAATTTCATGAAAATCACATATCCCACGCGAGTGTGATCTCACAATGGTCTCAAGCTTCCCCCGACAGACATTTCGGGGCGATAGTGATCTCTATCTCGTGCCTTTTCACTGTACAACTCTGACTTAATTAATTAATTGGAGTCACACTCGTGTTTGTCACGCCAGAGGTGCACTAATTCCTGTAAATTGCGGTGCAATACCGCGGGGATCATGTTTAGGCATGAGGTTCCCATGGAGTCAGGGTCGCATTGATGGAGATGGATTAATTAGGTGGGTCTTTGTTCTACTTGTTTCATCTCACTGCAATCTCTCTCTCTCTCACTCTCTTGCAGCATTCTTTGCCATCTGTGGAGCGGCATTGGTGAGTATAATTTTCCCATCTGATTGTGAATGTGAGGATGTGATCGCGTGTCTTGTCACTGCAGGCCCAGAATGGCTACAATTATCCGCGACCGGATCAGGCGTTGCCAGGAAGCCAGAGCACTTCGCGGCCTTTAGGCGGCGGCGGCACCACGCCCAGCTATCCAGGCAGCACAGGATACCCCGCTTCTCGGCCAGGAGGTCCAGGATTCACCGCCCCAGGCCCCAGTGGTGGCGCCTTCCCGGGAACTGGAGCTGCTCCCGCTGCTGGCTACCCCTCAGGCGGACCCACTTCTCCGGCCACTGGTCGCCCAGGATCCTTCGGCGCTCGCCCCGGTGATGAGTACCCGTCTGGCCCCAGCCAACCCGGCACTGGATACCCAGGATCCGCCCCCTCTGGACCCTCATCTTATCCCGGATCGGCGCCTTCAGGCCCCACTGGTGGCTTCCCATCGCAGCCTGGCTTCCCCGGCGCTCCAGGACGTACTCCTGGCGCTCCCGCTCCCGGATTCCCCGGTGGTTCAGCTCCAGCTCCCGGATTCCCCGGCGCTTCGGCTCCAGCTCCCGGATTCCCCGGTGCCTCAGCACCATCTGCCCCAGGAAGTCGCCCAGGAGCACAATTCCCTGGTGCTCAGCGTCCAGGCGCTGCCCCAGGAGCCCAGTTCCCCGGCACTGGCGGTGGATTCCCCAGCGGACCCTCAGCCGGAGCCCCAGGATTCGGAGGCGCGCCCGGAACACGTCAGCCAGGCGGCGGCGGAAAGTTCGATGATGGACAGTACGAGGGTGGTGACTATTCGGCCATTCCCGGAGAGCCTGGCGTCGATTATCCCATCTACACGGAAATCCCAGTGACCTCCTTCGATTGCGTGCAGCAACAGTGGCCAGGATACTATGCTGACGTTGAGGCTCAATGCCAAGTCTTCCACATTTGCGCCCTCAACAAGACCTTCAGTTTCCTCTGCCCGAACGGTACGATCTTCAGCCAGGAACACCTTGTTTGCGTGTGGTGGAATCAGTTTGACTGCTCAACCGCTCCTGGACTGTACGGAAATAACGCCTATATCTACGACTACAGCAAGGTGGGACAGCCAGGCTCTGGTGGAGCTCAGGGACCGGGAGTGACGGGTTTGTCGGGTCCAGGAGTGAGTGGACCGGGCGTGCAGGGGCCAGGAAGCTATCCAGGAGCTCAAGTGCCATCAGGACCGGCTGGTGGATTCCCAGGCAGTGCCCCAGGACCTCGTGGACCCACAACTAGCACTGGAAGCTACCCAGGCGCTCAGGCTCCGGGAAGCCCCGCTGGTGGATTCGGCCCCAGTCAGCCCGGCAGCGCTCCGGGAGGTGGATACCCAGGATCTGGACCATCAGCCTCCTACCCAGGTGCTGCCCAGCCCGGTGGCGCTGTGCCCGGAGTTCCCGGCGCTCCAGGATTCGGACAGAGCCCCAGTGGACCCGCTGTGGGCTACCCAAGTGCCGCAGGACCGGCCGCAAGCTACCCAGGTGCCAGTCAACCCTCAGCCCCCGGCAGCTATCCTCAGGGCCCGTCGACGGGCTACCCAGGCGCCCAACCCGGCTTCCCCAGCACCGGAGGATATCCAGGCACACCGGCTCCAGGCTACCCTGGCGCCGGCTACCCCACTCAGCCCGACTCCGGATACCCATCGGCCACGCCACCCAATCGCGAGTACCTGCCGCCGCGCCGGCAGTAGGCAATGAGAGACAACTCAACCGTTGATGACGGATAGAGTTCCTGCCAAGCAACCTTTGAGCATTTCCCCACCCCCACAGCATCTCCCGCAATCCAGCGACGACGCCCGGGAAGTCACGGCACCCCGTGAGTCCCGGGCGGCAATTGGGGGGCGACTAGAGTGTGGGATAAAATCGCTAATTTAATCCTCAAATCTCATTTAATCAGCCACCATCGAGCGACAATTCATGTAAATTTGCTACCTTCGCTGCAAAAGTACAAGTAGTGACTATCGCTTCACACAAGTTTTGCTAAAAAAGAAACGAAAATTTCAATCACATCTATTAGGCATAAACCGCGTGATCTGTTTCCGCAGCATTCTAACTAGCTAGCAAGTCGAATCACCCTTCTTTTGTGTGTGTTTCCCACTTTGTAACGTATAAGAATTCCGCCATGTTTTACCTAAATATTAAATATGTAATTTGTATATTAATGGCTAGAATATGTGTGAGAAAGCGTGTGAGTTTCTCACACAAAACAGATCCATCCACAAGAGGAGAGGAGATGTAAAGAACAAAAATTGTATAAAAAAGACGTCCAATAAATAGAAAATTAATATTAGTCAATTGCTAAATGGAATTTTCCCCCAAGAGTCTCAACATCATAAAGGTCTTGGTTGGCGGTGTAAATATTTCATATAGGCAATCGCCAATTGATCGGTGGGAGTTTTTCAGGCCGCATCACCCAGCCGGAGAGCCTTGCGAAGACGCATTGCATGTCAGTAAACGTGTCCGCCGGTTAAATGGCAATACCCAAGAAATAATAATTGCAAACCGTCTTAAACACAGATAATTGCCCGGGCTCGTGTTTGTCTCTCACACACTCCGAGACGAGCTGTGCGGGATTAGGAAAGAGAGACACAGCGTCAGCGGCGGGATTTTCTCCAATTCTCAGCTCTTGTGTATTGCGAAAATTGATCACGCCAAACCACCTCATTTCCAATTAATCCAATTTGTCAATCGCGCCACAAAAATTGCTTACTTGTCGTGATTGTGGGCCCTTCTCGGGGCACCCTTGCGTCATTTTGCTCACACTTTCCACGGTAAATCATCGCCTAATTGGACCTTTTGCCTAACGGAGTCTGCTTTCTACGCCTCTATCAATTGTTCTCTTCTCCACTCTCCTTTTGGAGTATTTTGGGAGCTTCAGAGCTCTTTGGCAATTGACGCCCACTGCGCGAGATCAATGAATCGCCAACAGTCCACATGAAGTGCGCGGCAGAAAAGCTTCGCTCTAAGAACATAATTGAATTTATTAGTTGTGGAATCTCTCACGATTAATGTTACCACGTCGTGTTATCTTGCTAACTATAAATAATTCGTGTTGTTGCATGTTTTAATTAAATGTTGCACTTGAATGTGGAACAGGTATTTAGCAGAATACACGCTATTTTATGCAGTAACAATAAAAGCCATCGAATGAATGTAAAACGTTTTTTTATTTTTCAATTCTTCTCTCTGTCCATTAACAAGTAGAGTTTATTAAGGAAAATTTAGTGTTTGAAGTTTTCAAACTTCAGACCACAATTTCGTAATAAAAAATCTTTCATAAACAACAGACTAATTCGACTAATTTGAATGTTTCTTTGCTCTTTTTAATCCTCATTACTTTACAGTTTACCATTATCTTAGCAGTTTTTCAGTTTTATTCCTTCAATTCACTCGCAATAATTCAGTCCGTGACAATGCTGCATAAAGCTCAGCCTCATTAAAGCCATTCAAGTCAACTTAACATGCATTTCGCATATCAAATTGAAGTTTCCCAGCGACACAATCTCCAAATCTCAATCTGAAAGTTAATTAAGTCGCAGCAAGAATGCATTGAGGGCCGGTTTCGCCTAAGTCAAATAGTTGACACCGCGGAGTCATCGGCAGTTTGCACGCAGCGACACACGAGACCTTCTGATTCTCTTCATGTTGCAAATGTTCGGGGAAAATTGAGACAAATTGCCAAGCTTGGAGGATGATGGGAAATTCCGCGCCAGCAAAGGTGAGGAAGCACCTCCGGAGCTCGTGCCAACACACCTCCGCAGCCAAGAGTGATTATCTCAGTCGCTCTTAATCCTTCCAGTGACAAACAAAACACCCGCAATAGATATCATTTGCATAATTTATATTTCAATTAGCCGAGCGCAATTTCTTCTGTGGTGGCATTTGAAATGCGCCAGAAGAAAGCGCCCATCAATTGTGTGCTTTATAAAGCGAACAAATTGTGATTATATTTGAGATTTACGATTATATTATACCTGCGAGTTATCGCATAAGTGTTTCCATTTGTTAAGCATAAAAGTGAAACATTGCGGATTAGGTTGAAAGCATAGGAGAATAACATTGAATTGCAAATATAGCGCGCTAAACATTACTGGATAATTCTTTCACATGATCTTATCTGCCCTTCACTGTGCCATTTTCTTCATCACTCGCCCGTCACATCTGCTCCTCCTCGCATCTTCTTCACTCGTTCCTACTCCTCCTCCTCCTCCTCCTCCTCCTGCCCTCACGCCTTCGCATCATCCGATAGAGACATACCTTAGTTCAGCGCCGTAGATGTCAGAACGGCCACACCTCTCTCGTAGAAACTGTGCGGATCTTGTCCAGGTGCAACGGCCAAATCCACAGTGAAGAGGAGCTCCGTTCGCGTGGAGTTCAAGTAGACGGGTAGCGTGAGTTTGCCAGAGCGATGCTCACCGCTGGATCGTGACCACTTGAGCAGGGTCAAGGGCAGGTCCATCATGATGGTGGAAGTGAGCAGCAGTTGGTTACTCTTGCACTGGGCACCTTGCAGTTTCAGTCCCACCACGCCGAAGCAGCTGTCCTTCTGGTCAGCCTCTGAGTTCGTCTCGCTGATCGTCACCTCCAGCATCAGCTCCTCCAGCGACCAACTGTTGGCCTGCGCCACGCACTGACGCGTCGCCGTTATGTACGCCTCGGGATTGAGCAATCCGCCCAGCCACACCGGGAAGCTCTGGAGCTCCTTGGCGCCCGCCTGGGACACCAGCGAGGACACCTTCTGCAGTTGCTGCACGCGATGACTGAAGTCCGTGATCCACTGGATGACCGTGCATCCCGCTGGCACAGTGTAGCGACGCCATCCCACCGGAATAATGCCTCGCACGAGCTCACTCAGCATGCTGCGATGATGGTTGGTCTGCTTCTTCTCCCCCTGACAGATCAGCACCACATCTTGCAGATCAGAGATGACCGTCTGCAGCAGCTTCGCACCAGACGCCACCTCCCTCTCGAAGTATCTACAACGACAGAATATCGGTCATGCACACAACATTTTGCTCTCGGGAAAGGCATCTAATCACACGGCAAGTGTGTGTGGACCCTTTTAATCAGCGATAGTGATCAGTGAGTTTTTAATTGAATTTCAACAAAACTTTCAATTTATCAAGAAGCACACCAAGAGTGGCAATTATTTATGCAATACCCGCACAACAGTAGTCACACCACCTCTCTTTCGATGCCTTCCCCAGTGCTTGCAATTCGCAACATTTTCGCTAAACTATCACTAAACGCCTCAAATCTCATACTTAATTGAATGAAATTAACTCTCAGCAGATCATCATCATTGGATAAAGTGTGGTAATTTGATAATTTACACCGAGTAACAAGAAAGTCATGTTTTATGTGCAGATCAATTCGGCAAAGCACTGTGTGAATCTCTTCATCGGAACACCGCTTATAAGCACTGATGAAGAGATATTCTCTGTTTGGGAACTTATCTTTTTCTCCATCTAAACATGAGCCATTCGCGAAAATTTGTAAAAACACACAAATTCACAATGGGAAATTTAGAATCACATTCATCTTTACCTGTAGAGCGGATCCTTGATGTTCTCCACAGTCCTCTTAAGCGTGGCCAGAGATTTCGGCAGCAACTCAAGCCAGGATGATGCACTATTATGCAGTGTCTTCATCCACGACGGGCGACCGTCTTCCTGCTTAGTCTGCGTGAGATCCAGACTCTCATCGGCAGAGCTGTACGCCAATTCATCGTCATCCTCCAGTTGTTGCATCTTCAGCAATTTACTAATCAAGTCCGTTCCTCGCGTGGTCAGGAGAACTCTCTCAGCATTATTGGGCAATCCCAGCCACGAAGGAGTCTGGCGATCCGCCAGTCCTTCAATCCACTTCAAGAAGTGATCGCGTCGAGTACCATCAGGCATCGTAATGTGCCTCTGGCCATTCGGTCCGCCAGCAACACCATCCACATTGGCAACGAGAGCAAAGTCACCCTCAAAACTGCGCGCCGTGAAGAGCTTGGCGAGGAAGGATTGCAGAAGACGCTGATCGAAGTCATTGTCAATCTTGCCACCGTAAATACTCTGCGAGAGAAGAGTCACCAAGGCATCCCATGGCACTTTCTCTGGCGGCAGATTGGTTCTTCCCATGGCCGTGGCGTCGATCCACGTGTCGAGAGTGTCACAAGCAACACGCAAATCCGACTCATTGAACTCGTACTTCTTGGCCCAGCCCAGCGGAGCATAGCGCAATCTCTCCTGGACAATAGCATGGAACCAGGCAAGGAGGAAGTAAAGTCTCGCCCTCTCGCTGGGCTGCTTCATCATCCGCCCAGCGGGAACGGTTGAGAAAGTCCTCAGAAGATTAGCACGAATGCCTGGTGGCGGTTCGTAGACAAAGATCCTTCCAGCACGGAGAAGATTCACCGGAACTCTGGGACTGATTTCCATGGTGAGGAAGAGTCGGAAGGCGGCATGTGGCTGCAGAGAGTGGAGCTTCTTCTCCAACTGCACAAGCCACTGCGGAGCCAAGTGAACGTTCTTCAGCAACACCCAACGACCACTCTTGCACGCAGCATTGATCGCTCTCTCAGCCTGATTGAAGCCTTCAGCCGAACCAATGGCAATGCTTGAGATTTGCTTATTCAACTCTGCCGCCAAATCATCCACTCGACTCGATGCATCAAATCCAGGAACGGAACAGAGAAGAGCAGGTGTGTTGCTTGTCAGTTGTTTCTCCACAACCGTCGAGAAGTCCAACTCCTTCTCAGCCAAAGGCATAAAGTCCTCTCCCAGAACTGTGGCCACAAACACATTTGCCGCAGCGATCACTCTGTCAGGGCGGAAAGCCTGAATCAGGAGAAGTTGATGCATAGCAGCCACAATTTGCGAAAGTGCCTTCGATTCGTCCCACAACTGGGGAACACATTGCTCCGGAGAGCTCTGTTGCAGCCAAGCTCCAAGTTCCGGCATGGATTTCACCTTATCCAACAGCTTCCGGAAGATTGGAAGACGTGTAGCCAAGCGATTGACACCTTCCAGCTGCTCTCCAGTCAATCCCTCCACTCTCTGCTGACCACTGACGATTCCCTCCTTGTTTCTCAGGAAGAAATTGAACTCCTGATCCATGTTGGACTCTGACGTGCCCTTCAGATGAATCCTGCACAGAAGGAGAGCGAATGTCAGACGATCAGCATGCAGCATTCCTCTGGCAACACGATCATAGCACACGGCAAACAGATCCTTCGTGATTATTCCCAGGCGAGTTCCGTAATCAGTGACACCTTCCAGGCGGTTATTGTTGTACAGGACAGTGCTGAAGATGTCCAGGAACATCTTCAGTGAATACTGATAGAGGAAGTGCACTTGATTGAGGCTGTCCATGGTGAAGTAGATGTTGCTGCAAGCCTGAGACAGTGACATGTACTGTTGGGACACTGTCTCAATCTCAGCGATAACCTTGTCTGTCTCCTCGACCTTCTGACCAATATCCGCAGCCTCCTTCTTGAGTGTCTCCAGTGTTGTGATCACCGAGTCATCGTCGAGAATCTTTCCCTTGGCATCATTGAGTGCCTGAAGGAGACTCTTCTCCAGCTGACGCAATCTCAGATGGAATTCACCCTGCAATTTCAGCAAGTCCGATCGCTTCTCATCAATATCCGGACGCTCTGCCTTCAACACCTGGTTGAGACACTGACTCTGGAGTGAACTTCTGGTCACTGTAAAGTTCACAAAAGTCACACGAGAGCAGATATCAGGTGTGAATTCCACCGTTGGATCCCTTGTTGACAGGAAGATCACAAATGATGGTGACAAATCGATATCCTGATCACCCAGAGAGATGAGAACTCGTCCTCCAGTTCGTCTCAACTCCTTATTCAGCACCGGATTGAGGATGGGATCGTAATTCTCGACATCCTGCACGAGAAGTGGATTGCCAAATCGCAGGGCAGATTCCAGATTCTTCCTGAATGAATCATCCAGGAAGCTTGTCTTTGTGATCTTCTTGTCCTTGAACTCATTCATGATGAACTCAGTTGCCTGACCCGAAGGATCAATGATCAGCGGATAGCGATTGAATCTCTTCAGCATAATTGCATTCTCCGTGCACAGATCATCAGTCGGCAGGGCATTTGCTTGCCAACGGAGTCTCTCATCGGGATTGGACAAGTACTCAGTCCTCGCAATATCCGCGCGATACTGAATACTAGCCGCCTGCAGATGTTGACACCAAGTGGTGAAGAGATTGTTTCTGTAGTGCTGGTCAAAGTATCCACCGTAGGCAATGAAGGCGGCCGACAGGAGAACATCTCCAATGATTGTGGACATTTGAGAGCGGAATGTCTCACTTGTGGCTTCCCAGCGCTCTCTCTCAATGTTGAGACTCTTCAGCAGTGCAATGGATCGATCAACCTTTGCCTGAACATTCTCCAAGTCCGTCTTGATGGCTTGGGCTTGAGAAATCAACTGTGCATACTCCTCTTTGTAGGCAGCAATGCTCTGTTCCAGCTGAGATATTAGATCCTTGATATCCTGTGCGTGTGTCATGTTCACTTCAGCCTGTTCCTCCAGAGATTGAAGCTCATCGCGAAGAGGTTCCACTCTCTTCAGCATGTCAGCGTATTCGATCTGCAATGGCATTAGATGTTATATTTTCAGAGTTCATTGACTAATCTAGCTGGTGAATTACCTGAGCGATAGCCCATTTCACCATAGGTCCACAAGCCATACTGGCGCGATTGACCTTCTCGAAATTGTACTCTGGATTCGAGAGATAGCGAGTCTTCATCTTTTCGCGGACATCATCGCTGGAGTGTGAGAAAGTTGCAATTAGTAGGATTGATCTTAAGTCTAGAAAAATACAGCGAAAGCACACAAAGACCATCACCAGCAAGTATCCATGCAAAAGTATCTACAATTTATCAAGCAAATATCTACACAGCGAAACTCAAGGGAAAATCCAAAGATTTAACATCTCTCAGAAGTTGGCCTCAAATTATCCTCAATCCAAATGACAATGCCAATGTATATAGAGTGTAGTATATTGTGGTGTCTTCTATGACTATAAAGTATCTATAAATACTCTACCAAAGTATTTTATAGAGGGAAACACAAAAAGAAAATACACAAAATAAAATAAAACCTACTTCTACGCAACATCTTGTGTTGGACACACATTTACAGATATTATTTGCCAGAAGAAACCCATATTATTATATTGCTTACGTTATGTCTTCAGTACTGAAGTTAGAGACAATGGAATTAATAAAGTTCTCCCGCATTATCACGGCTCGAATCGATTTCCAATCGGATGCATTTTCACCCAGCAGCAAGCATATCGATTCGAGTGCCAATTTCACAACAGCCGGCGGATTCGCCATTGAGCGAACTTCGACGAGATGCTGCTTCCTGATGGACTTTACAGCTAGAAGAAGTTATTCAATTTGTCGTATTAACAGTGTCAGTAGATATCATTGTGTTAGCTTTAAATTGATTTTGTACACTTCTGACCGAAGATTTACAATTCCCATCAAAGGTTCATTCAATGCACATTTCCCTGAACATGAACTTTAGTAATTCAGCGGCTCTCTTAATCACTTTTTGAGGTTCTCTCCGCCACTCAAAAATCCATTCAATTCCACGAGTATAACAAAAAAATTTTTAGCAATAAAATATTACACAAGAATAACCTTTAAAAGCGCATTGAAACAGAAAAAACTGTTACGTTTCCATTCGTTGAAATTATAAATCTTTCTGCCAGAGTCTGTGTGGAAAATGTCTTTCTCAGGTCATTAATTTTGTGTATCATTTGTTCTCTGCAAATTGCTGATATTGTTTGCTGTTGACAAGTTTCAATGGTGTGCAGATTTTGAGGCAAATGAAGAAAAAAGAAACATCTCAAAAAGAACATCAAATGAATTCAGTTAATTATTAGTCACAGAAGCACAATTATTTCTCATTATGTAAACACAAGAGATCTTTAAAGTTCATTGCGGCCGAGAGGCAATGATTAAACGAGTTAGAAGTATAGCCTTTAGTAGAATGCACAAAATTGCATTAGTTAGTCATGACAAAGTGAGGAACTTTTGGCGATTAATGGTGATTTTTTTTGCAGCAGAAAAGCCATCAATCAGCACTTTGTGAGCAAGGATATTCGTAGAATGTCCAACACAATCATTTTATAATTCACATTGCAATGATAAATCAGATAAATAAATTGCACATTTCACCAATAACCCTGTTCAGTTCCTCACAAATTGATTTATTGTCAAAATATTAGGAAGTAAATTGAATTTTTTTGCAATAATAATCCGTACGTGATTAATGATGTATCAAAATTGACAATCGACGATATAAATGAGTCTTTCACCATAACTTGGCGGATTGTCTTCCAGTCAGTCGTTTCAGTATTCAACATGAGACACACGGACTCAAGAGCTAGCTTTACAGCCGCCGGTGGATTTGCCATTGACTTTACCTCCGACAATTGATTCTTTTTAATGCCACTCACAGCTAAAATTACACACATTTGTAGTGATATATTTTTTTCATCATGTTGTGAGAGAGTGTAAAAGCATTAATCTTATTCTTCATCACTTCTGGGGGTCGAAAATCAATTAAGAGAAAAAAACAACCGTAAAGGGTAATGAAATTTCCATAAAGGGCAAACTTACCGAGTTGAGCGTCAATAACAGCCGGTTCCACCAGTGCCAAATCAGCCATAACATGCTTCCTCTTCTCCTCAATCTGCACCGTCTGCTCGGCGAGTTGTATCTGAATCTCCTGGGATTGCACCTTCTTCTTCTCCGCCTCCTGTTGATCCTTGAACATCTGCTTCAACTTCGCATTGGCAGCTTCGTTCTTCGCCTGCAACTCCTGAGACTTCACCGCCAAGGACTTTTGCATCTCCTCCACTTGTTCTACAGTTTCGGCAATCTTGTTGAGACCAACATTCAGGTGAAGTTGCTGCTCCTCCAAATCACTGCGCTTCTCATTGTACAACTTCACCATATGATGGATAAAGTCCAGATAGTGACGAGGTGTGATTGCCATTGTGCGTCCACCGCGCTTAGCCAGCCGAGCATTGGCCTTGTGCAGTGTCTGATGGACATACACGCATGCATTGATCACGGCATCGCGATGATTTGGCGTTGCTGGGATGAGTGGACAAGCGGACGGGAAGAAATCTGGTGCAGTCCAATTGGGCTTCTCAAGATCCACGCGAATTGTGAACTCTTTGCCCACCTGGAACAGAGCAGATTCTGACCAGTCGCCGAACCAATTCAGGACGCATCGATTGAAGAGAGCCGGAGATGTTGCTGCCCTATCTTTAAGTCCATCCGTTGAGGGATTCATTGTAAACACAACATGGAGATTCCTCATCACTTGCTGCGTGAACCACTTGTACAGTTCATCGCTGGAATCCAGCATAAGACCCTCTCTTTGAGCTCCTTCCTTGCACTGGGTCATGAGAGTTGTGTATTCATCTCCCTCGAACAGACCAGGCACTTCGCCGTTGGCCAGGAGAGTGTTCATTCTCTCAAGGAAGCCCGAATCCAGAACATTAGACTCGTCCAGGATGAAAGCAATCTTCTCATCCTTGCATCCAGATCGCCTCAAAACTGATCTCAAGTCCTCATCAAAGTCCTCACTTGTGTACTTGTTGTGCACCTTGATCTGGAACACCGATAAGCCATTCATCCACGCCACGAAGCGAGACAACGTGGTCTTTCCTGCTCCTGAGACACCAATCAGCAGCAAATGCCCTTGTGGCTGACGGAAAATTCTGTCAATGCGCAGAACATGCTCCAGGACTTCGTCAAACAGCACAAGAGGCACATCCAGCTCCTCCTCGTAGAATATCTTCAGACGAGCCTTCACATAGTCACGCAACTCATCCCTATTGACCGGCATGTAGTCCTTCGAGAGCCAGTTGCTGTACAGAATGGGCCTGGCGAGGGCCTTATCATGATCCACGGACGGGAAGTGCTTTGCTCCGACAATGTCAATATTGTCATTCGTCCACCTCCTCTCGGACTCATCCACAAGGCGATCCTGGAAGAGACGCAGCGCCTCGTGAGCCCACAGACGCACCAATCCCTCCACAGATAGCGTATCCAGTGGCCGAATGGCCTCGCAGATTCCCCTCACCCAGCGTGTCATCTCACGCGGTGAATAGACATAGTGTGGCTGCATGTCTTGCGTGAAGCGATCCTGCGATGCCAGATAAAATTCCACCATTGCATTGGTCAATGGCTCGGCATAGCCACGCAGCGATGGCATCATACGCAGCATTGCACGACTGAATGTGCCGTAAATCTGCTTCAGAGACGTCTCACCGGGGTAATCCACATAGATAATCGGCACGTGGCGCAAGAAGCGATGCGAGAGTGGCTTCCGTCCCGGATCAGTGGGCGGATTGCATGCGCCAACAAATTGGATACGCTCCAGCGTCACCCAAGATTGATCACCGGCCCTGTAGAAGCCCTTGTGCTCCACCAATTGTCGCAGGAACGAAATCACGCGCTGTGTTCCATACGAATCCATGTCTGGCAGATTGATTTCGTCACAGAACAACACCAGCCACTTGCCGATCTGGACAGGAGCCAGAACAACGCCGTTGGGTGTCTTGCGATACTCGCAGTAGTGATCGAAAGTCTTCAGCAGCAACTCAGGCGTGGTGGCTGAGGAGAAATTCAATCCAACCACTTCCATGTCCGGAAGAGCTCTAAGTGCTGAGAAGAGTGTCATGGTTTTACCAGATCCAGGAGGACCACAGAGAACTATGGGCTTGTGCTCCGCCAACCAAGTATAGAGAAGCGATTCGTGCCTCACAGTATCCAATGTGGGCACCACAACGTCCGGAGCTGCCACTTTGTGAGTCTCCACCTCAATCACAGGCACTTTGTTGGACCACGGAAGCCAATCTCCATTAATGCTGACCTCATAGTCGATGATAGGAGCGCCTGTGTTGCTTGGCAAACCAATCGTAGTCACACTCCTAATGAAATCGCCCAAATCCGAGCGAACCTTCAGTTTAGCATCCCCAGCAAATGACCATAGCAGGGAATAAACCAAAGCCTTGGGGATGAACTGCTCCAGTTGCTCAGAAGTCACGGGGAAATCTGGATGTTGTGAATTGAAGATCAACACATTCCTCGCTGCTTGATTTAGCATGGAAAATAGCGAGCTTAAAGCTCTCAATCGCGTAAAGTCCATAATATGCTCCTGCTCCATTGCATACTCTAAGCACCGCACAACAAGGCCATCAGCAGCAAAGTAGGATTGCAAGAGAGCGGCCACTTCTCTCTGCGTTTGAAGCGCCGGTGAAGCTTCATCATCCTTCTTCTCCTTTGTCGCCGACGCGAAGTAGTCATCATCAGAATCTTCAAGTGGGATGTTCCTGAGACGCATCATGTAGTTGTCGAAGATCATTTCAGTTGACAGGACATCCTCTGAGAACCACACCATTCCACAACGAGAAACCGTGGCCAAAGTGGCGAACTTCAAGTCCTGCACCTCAAACATAATCCTCACATTTGGCGGCAGTGAGAGACGCTCGCCATTGGGCAGAGTCAGGAGCTTGTTGTCGTCGAGAACAGAGTTCAAGTTCTCAACCCACTCAGGATCCACATCACCATCAAAGATGATCCACTGACGCTTGTTGATTTCACCACGAACGTTGTCTATGATCTTTCTCAGGATGTGCGTGAAGAGACCATCTGTCCACTCACGAGTATTGGGATCAAGGACACCATAGAGAGCCTCCTTTGAGATGGCTTTCGGATCGATAACATGAGCCACTCCTTCGATTCCCTCAAATCTCTCGAGAGCCTTCAAGAGCACCTTCCAAGCAGTAGACTTTCCAGATCCAGACGGACCCACCATCATCAAGCCATGGTTGAGGTTGGAGATTTGATAGAGTTGCAGCACCTGCAGGAAGAACACCAATGCATATTAGAAGATAAATACACATCCAAGTCTAAACGTTTAACACCACACTTTTCTGATCACCTACAAGACTCTCTGATTTCTACCCAAAAGGACAAACACGAAAGCATACACTTGATGGTTATTTACAAATGTGTTAGTGACTTACTTTTTCCACCCACGTCTCTCCGAATCCCTTCATTGCGTGCATTTTTGGATTAACCTTTTGTACAGAGTTAGTATTCTAAATATTTCACATCAACTCACCTTTTCCATCCAAGCGCATCCCTGCTCATCTCCTTCGCCGCACACCAAGTACTCCTCAGCGCACACCTTCCGGATCTCCGTCTTGAGTCCCTTCATCTCCGCCCTGGTGTAGCCCACATTCGGGAAGACATCACTCAGCAGGGAGAACAGCAGTGGAATATCCTCAGCCACGAGTTTGGGCACCATCGTCTCGCAAACTGACTGAATCAGGATCTCTTGTTCCGGCAGATTCTCAGCAATGGACGCCTCGTCGATGTTCTCCTCTCCACGCTGCTTCATATTATCCTTGATCTTCATGATGCGATCACGTTTCACATTACCAGCGGACACGAGGACAGACTTCAATGCTCGCAGTCCAAAATCGTAGTGAGACTGATTGGAGAGTTGCTCATCGCAGAGCTTGAAGAAGGGCACTATTTTGCAGGCCAACTTCTCAGCCGAGCGGAAGCCCTGACTGAAGAGCATCACTTCGGCAATTAGTTGACGATCAGGTGTTGTCATTGCCAGAGATCTGAAGAGTTTCTTCAAATTGTCCGGAAGATTAGATCGTCCAGCATAACCAGGATTCATCGTGATGAATATTGCCATGTCAGAAGACACACGAACTTGCTTTCCAACCAATTCGACAGTGATACCTGAAAATAAAACAATTGACAAAAATCACTTTCTGATCTTTGGCTCTAAATCAATTTCAAAATCTCACTCTGAGTATCTTTGTTGCTGTCCTGATGTGACTTCAGAGCTTCCTGGATGGTTTGGATCTGCTGTGAAACAGCCGAAAGCATTCTCTCCTCCAGTCGATTGAACTCATCGAAGCATCCCCAGGCTCCAACTTGACACAGACCCACAAAGATTCGGCCCATGGCCTGGAAATCGAAGGTTTCATCACAATTGAAGACCAACACGAAGCGACCCAATTGGTGACCCAATGCTTTAACGGATTCAGTTTTTCCTGTGCCAGCCGGTCCAAATGGAGAGCCGCCGAGACGTGATTCCAGAGCCTGTGTCATTGTCAAATAGCAGCGATCGGTCAGAGGAGTCTGCACGAGACGATCCTGCACTCCCAAATACTCAAAGCCATAGAAGAACTTGGCATTGGCCATGTGAATGGTGAGTTGCTGCAGAACCTCCGTTTGGCGAGGATCAAAGTAGAAGCGCATCTCACAGAGCCACTGGAAGGACTTGGGATTGGTCACTTTGTTGGCGATCAGGCGACGAGTCACAGTTCTCTTGTGGACAAACTCATTGATCTGGAAATAAAAAAACTTCAGTAAAATCAAATTATCATGGTATCTCAGGATTCTTACCAGATGCTCTAGCTTGCGACGCCTCAGCGGAGGCTGTTCCTGCAGCACTGAGTCCGCAAGCACATTCAGAGTCGCCTCCACGGTTGTCAGGACGCGATTCATAGGATTCTTCCCACTCGTGTTCTCAGAACTCTGCTGCAGCGCAGACTCGACATCTTCTGACCACAGAATTTGTGCTGCCAGAACGACAATCTGTGCCTGATACTTGTCACACCATTCCATGTACTTCTGCGGATCAATTTGTCCATCCTTGAACTGCTTAATGTCCTGAACAGCCTGAGCCAAGTACGATGCCAGAGTGAAGCGCATTTCCTTCTCAACCAAACTCAACCACTCATTGATCTTGGGATGCTCAACTGTTGACACAGGATGAACAAACTTCACTTCCTCTCCCTCACGCGATGCTATTCCCAGAACCACAGTGTTGTCCTCATTCAGAATGATGGAAGCAACTCCAGCAAACATTTTCTTGAAGTGCTTCTGCAGACGAGCCACATTCTTGCTATTGCCGATGATCTCCAGCAAGTCTTCATCACCCACGAAGTAGAATCGCGGGAAAGAAGTACGCTCTCGCTCAAGATACTCTCCCAGAGCCTTCTGGATCTTACCCAGCAAATCAGCCAAGCGTTCCAGTGAGCGCTGAACAGCTGGAATGTTGAGAACGTCCATGACTTTCGGGGACTTTGCCACTTTCTTCATCAAGCCCAAAAATTCAGAGCTAATGCTCTGGAACCGAGAAGTTTCCACTGGCAGAAGAGTCTTAATATCTGCGCTTCCAGAGAAGATTCCCTCCAAATACACCCAGCGACGTTGGACGTCAATCCAGACATCAAATAAGGCATTGATGCGATTCAGTTTCTCCTCCCAAGTCAGTGTCTCCTCCTCAAAGACTTTATAGTACGGCGATAGCTTCATAGCCGCCACAGAGTTGATGTGCTCCTTAACCTTGTTGAACAAATCATCCCAGCCGCGGATAATCCTGCACTTGTTCTGGTAATTGATCAAATCCAATTCGTAGTTTTGCCAGGATTCGCGAACTTGCTTCAAGAACTCCTCGAGAGCCATTTCTCCCTGAGCCACGAGAATGATGTCCTTGACAATGGCCTCATTCTTCAGCAGATTGATGTCCCACACTTGTCCAAGAGTCAAATCCGAGAGAATCCAGTTCACTTTGAGTTGCCTGGTCAATTGCTTCCAGTGACGCTCCTTCAGAGCATCAGATTTCAACTCGATGATCAACATGTTGACCTTGATGTAGCTTTGGAGCAGCTTCTTCACGTACTCATAGCTCTCGTACATCCGGAGACGAGCTGGAAGCTCCTTCAGCTGACTCAACATAGTCTCGAGAGAGTGACGAAGCTTGCGCGGTTGAACGGACAACCACGGTTTCTCACGCGTTTCATCAATTTGAGTCCAGATCTTAGACAATTCACTCCAAACTCCGCGCAAGTCCTGCAATTCCTCAAGAACCACATTCATCCTCTCGCCACTGTTGTTCTGAATTGCCGATTCTTGGAGTTCGAGCGCTTCCTTCGCCTTGGCCACATTGTCACGCTCCTCCTTGAGTCGAGAGAACTTGGTCTCGAACATCTGCAAGTGCTGCAAGGCATCATCGGGCCTGATCCTGCCTCCAGTCGGCTTGTTCTTCTCCCAATCATTGAGGAAATCAGCTGTGCGAGTCTCCACCGCCTTGTCCTCAGCCACAATCTTCGCCTGCAGACTGGCCACTTGAGTCTGAATGGCCGAATCCTTGCGCTTCATGATCTCATTGAACGCAGACCACTCACCCTCGATGTTGTCCACATGAAGCCATGTATTGGGAAATTGGAAACGCTGGCGCTCAAGGATTCTCTGTGCCTCGCGGTAAACCTCCACTTGCTTATCCCAGATCAACATCTCCTTCTTCAACGATTGCACGTACGTTATGAAGCTCACAGCATCGGAAGTGCTGGCCGCCTCAATGCTCTGCTGCTCCAAATCATTGCGAGACTTTGACACTTTTCCATGGAAAGTGGTCATCTCATTGCCGAGGAGCGATCCAAACTTGCTGAGAGCCTCCTTGTGCCAGGAATCATACTTGAGAGTCACCTTTGCCTGCACCTTGGCATAATCTATGACAATGGGCCCATAAGCGCGACGAGTATCTGATGTATCGAACGTCGTGCGAGACTTTTTGATGTCATTCAAGCACTTGATCCACAAATTGATCTCCTCCCCGAGACGTCCATAGAGAATATCCGGCTGGAGATCCCAGAGACTCTGATAGCGAAGCCATTCATCGACATACACACGCACCTCACCAATCTTGCCCTCAATAGCATCGTATGCGTGCTCAATGGTCTCTGAGCCTGTGGGCAATTTGGTCAGGAGATTCCTGTACGTCTGAGACACAGGCTTGTCCAGACCCACTTGATAGCGAGAACTCTGCAGACGCGTCTGAGACGTGACAATCGCTTGCCAGGCAAATAACTGCTGCATGATCTGGAAGCGAGCCTCCTCAATCGAAGGATAGAGATACATCTGCTGATTCGTGATGCGAATCTCATGGATAGCATTCTGAATCTGTGGCTCTCCTCCTGGCTTGTGTGTCGGCTGTGTCGGCGCGTCAGTGTCCATGGACAAGTCCACTTCTTTCTTGTTCCCCGTGAGAGCATCAGTCCACGCTTGAATGCCAGCCTGTAGACGTGCTGCCAATTTCTTCTCCACCTCCTCATCAAGCCTGGCCACCCACACATGGAGATTTGAGTACTGCCTCAGCGACAAATCATCCACAGCGTGCTGAATCTTCGACAGAATGTCCGCAAAAGTTGCCGCTGAGTAGGGACATGTCTCCAGCGAACGAACATCAACATCCAGTTGCTCCTCCACCACCAGAAGATCCTCCACCTTCTCCTGGAACGCCACCACACACTCCGACAGGCGCTGCACATATGGATCCAACTTGTAGCTCTCCCAAACCAGCTGAATACCCTCAGAGATGAGTGCCAGCACATCTTTGCGCAAGCCCGCCACAAGTGGAACAATACTGGCGCGATCTTCAATCTGTGTGCCACAGGAAAAGAGAGCAAAATTAAAATTATTTCATAACAAGCTCATTTACATCGTAAACACATCAAATTAAAATGCTAATATCACACAAGCATTTTGCAAATTGTTTCAGCAAAAAGAAAATCTACATATGCTATTAAAATGTGCAAAGCCTGAATGTTGAGGAAAAAAACTACCTTAAATACGGAATTATGTGCTAAACTCCTATTTGTTAGCTGCATGAAAGAATATACAGAAAAAATGTTGTGGTACTTCTTTTTTCTCTCTCTTCTCTTTAATATCTTGATCATGTGGATACAAACACACTTAGCATTTTCTTGAACAATGAAGAGATTATCTCCATTGCTCTCTGTTTCAAGATAAATCATAGTGGAAGCTTAAGCTCATTTGTATGATGTTGAGAAATGATTCATGACTGCAGTGTCTCAATTAAAACTCACTGACAAATCGTGTTAAGGTAAATTGAGAGCACAAAACTCAGTGATAGGTGGAAATATACAGACAAAAGACTTGCTTACACACCTTGTCCAGAGTTCTCTCGTATGTCCTCACGCTCTCAATGAGTGAAATTGCAAATGGATAGATTTGATTCGCCTGGTGAGCCTTGTTCACAATTGCCAGTGGAACTCTGGAAAAATAATGTCAAGTTATTCAGGAACTACATTTTCTCCCACATCAAAACTCACCTAAATCCCAGACTCTTCAAATTTCGAACTTCCTTATACAGCATAATGATCTCCGGCAGGAAATTCACCTTGAGTTTCAGAACACTTCCGCGTCCAGTGCGCGAACGACTGGACTCAATCGTGAAGATTCTTCCGCTGATGCCAAAGTTTCTCTCCTGCACCTTCCTGGCCCAGTCCTGGAACACCTCAAAGGTGGACAGCTTGGCGCGAAAACTGTCGCCGTCATTCTTCAGCTTCTGCCCCTCAATGTGGGATTCCCAGCCTTTGCCCAGCACATCTTCCACCCGCTTGAGATACATCGTAAGTTGGTTGTCAATTTGACGAGCCCAGATTATCGATCCCGCCACCGGTGGCAAATCCCTCACGTTGGAGATGCGGCAGCTCTTGCTCTGCGGATACTGCACTTTGAACTTCTCATGCAGAGCCTCAATGTCGTCCTTCACGCGCTGAATCAGCTGAATCTGATACTCCCTGATGGCACCACGGATGTGCGGACGCACGAACAGAGCATTGAATCTCGAGAAGATCCTGAACATCTCATTGGCATTCTTCGCTGTGCCGAGCTGGTCACGAAGATGCGCCGTGATGCGAGTCTCCACGCGATCAATTCGCTCCTCATATCGCTTGACAGCCGCATCCCATGCCTCTGTACCCTCCTTAGTGATGTCCAGACACTCTACCTCCTTCACATTCTCATACGCAAGATTCACCTCTTCAATGGCATTGGCGTCAGTCGCCTCGAGGCTGTAAGGCTGCTTCGTCTCCGGAATGCTATCACTCTGGCCACTCTCAGGCTGTCTAGACGGACGCAAGACGCGCAGAATGACAGTTCGCAATTGTTCATGCTGTCGCCGGAACTTTCTCATGTTCTCCATGCGCACTTGCAACTTCTTGTGAGCCGGAGTCACGCGCCACACCATCTTCAACTGCTCATCACGCTTCTTCTTCACAATATCCCTCATCAGTGCCTGCAACTTGTCGTACTCGTCGTCCCAACAGCTAAACACCTCGAAGCATTGATTCATCACGCGTTCAAACTCATCAAAAGGGATGTGCATAAGTCGCCTGGTGCCCAAAACCTTCAGCAGCTGTTGCCCCAGATCACGAGATATCGCCTCAATGAGTCTGAGAGCGCGCTGTATCGGATACTTCGTGCTCCTCACCTTACGCAAGTGCGAAAAGATAGACTGGACAGCTGATCGTATTTTTTCCAATTCAGTCGCGGAGAGCAAGTCTTTGATGGGAAAATCCTTCATCAGGGGATTGTAGTCAGCAACCATGGCGAGTGCTTGCTGCAATCCAGTGTCCGTGTCGAAGGAGACAATCGCATGAAAACGCTTGCCGTGCTTCAGAATGTCCAGTGTTAGTGTCACTTCCAGGGATTCGCGCTTCTCCTGAATGCGATGGAGAGCACGCTCGAGGTTGAGCCAGAAGCTCACCTCCTGCAGTGCCGTGCCACTCGACGGATCGCGATCGAGCTTCGTCACCTTCTGGATCTCCTTGATCCAGCGGTTAACGCCGTTCTGGAGTTGATTGAGGAAGGAGGAATCCTCCACTTTGTCCCCAAAGTCACCCACTTTCGCCTTGTGTCCGTCGTCGGCGCACTTCTTGATCGTCTGACTCACAATCGGGTGGACAATGAGAGAGATCTCGGGGATGTCGATGTTCTGCTGCAAGTGCAGCAATCCCATCTCCAATTCCGCGAGTTTCTTCTCAACGCTGGGCACCATCTTGTCGCCGTCGCGATCAGCGCGACCCGACTCCTTGATGTAGCTCTTGAAGTAGGGCGCCAGCGATTTGCTGATGAACGCATGGAGGGTCTCATATGGAGAGCCCTCGGAAAAATTGATGAGGCGCACTTGCGTGTGGATTGACTTGTCTGCCTCCACAACTCCTCCGCGCTTGATGCACACCAGAGATGACATGCGATGGTTGGAGTAGATGACTTCGTTGCTGATGTAGTAAGTCACCATCTCCTTCTCCTCATCGCCTTCTGGGCTCTGATCATTCTCATCCTCTGCAAGAAACCAAAGCGCACAAGCATTAGAATTCCTCACGGCGCATTGTGTTTACATTTCCCGTTTGTTTGCAAACAAAAGACAGCTGATTGCCGGTTGCCGGTCAGCTGATTCGTTTTCACGGTCAAAGCCGAACGCGAAAAAGAGCGAGAGAGGAGGAAAAATCTGAGCAGGCAAGAGAGCCCGGTGAGAGCCAAAGAGAGCGCGTGAGAGACGCGTGAGAGCGAGAAGAGAGACCCGACCGCCCGGCGAACAGCGCCCGAAAACGCCCATGAATTCAACGGTGCACCAGTGACGTCACGCTCTTCGACAACTCATCCAATATGGCGGCGTCTGGGTGACAAATTTTTCGCCGAGCGCCCCCGGAGGCTCACCTTTGGAGCAGCAGCGCTGGATGTAGAGCGCCTGCACCTGGGAGTCGCCGAGGAACTTGCGGACGCTCTCCTGATTGCTGCGGTCCTCCAGCGCTAGGTTGAGAGCGGGCGGCACCACATCTTCCTCCGGCAGCAAAATGGTGGTCGCCTTCCGCAGGTAATTCGCGAACGCCCCGTACTCCATAATCGCCACATTCTGCGAATCCGCCGGCGGCTCCGTGCTCTCTATGGAGTCACCCATGCTTTGCACACGGTCGCGGGCGAGAAAAAAGTCCTTTTACACCTCAAATCACACTTTTAATGCAGACCAGACGCGAAACCACACTTCTTTACAGAGAATGACGTCTGCACTGAGAGAAATTCCCGTCCGTACACTGCTAAGTGGGTCAGTGAAATTTTATCACATACGCGTTGGGTGTTTTGTACTGAAATTCGCTGAAGAGAGCAAATTGGCGGGAAACTCCAACACGTTTCCAATTGCAGTTGATTTTCCTATTGGAACAATAAGAATCCAATAAAAATCGCCCAATTAAGTGAAAACAGAAAAGTTTATTGATATATCTTTGATTCAGTGTGATTTAGAATGAATTTGAACACAATACTTGATGCATTTACCATTAAAATTGCACTATAGGTGAGACACTTTATGGATTCTTGAGAATCTCACTCATGAGGCTCTTCACGTAGTTCTCGATCTGGGAGTAGTCAATGAGCGTGCCCCTGATCATGTCGACCAGCATCACTGGCCACACTTGCTCCAGCTTGTGCAGTTTCTCTACGGCGTTGCAGGTGTTCTCCATCATGATGGAGAAGTAGAGGCGGCCCTTCTGGCGCACGGCCGTCTCCTCCTGGAAGGATGTGTTGTTCCGGCGCCACTGAAGCGCCTCCTTGCCCACCACACTCTTCAGCGAGGCGTCCGCCTGCATCAGCCACTCCTTGGCGCTCTTCTTGCTGGCCAAGCACGTCTCGTCGAGGCGCAATCTGGTAAGCAGCGGCGTCAGCAAACTCTCCGGCAGCGACCAGAGCACGAGATCTGAGAGTCCGGAGTATGCCAACTCCGCCATGGAGACCTCATCTGGCGTGACATCTGTACCGTTGATCTGCTTGAGGCCCCAATGAGAGAGGCGGTAGATGGCGTAGCTCCTCCAGCTCTTCGTGCAAATACCGTTGCCCTCGGGATCGATGATGAGCGAATTGATGCCCTGAATCTCCGCTAGAGCATTGATCTGCCCCAAGCAATTGATGTTCGTCTCCCGGAAGATGAAGTTCTCAGCATTCGGGAAGCGCACCTTCACCTTGCTGAGGATCGTGGAGATGCTGTTGAAGTTAACATAGCTGAACTTGACTGTGTGCACGTCGTTCGCCTTCTGGACATTCCACTGCTTGTCGATGAACTTGAGAGCGCCAACGCCGTAGACGTTCAAATACCTTCCGCAGATCTCGATGAGATAGTCTCCGCCCTGCTCTCGCTCTCTGTCCGACTGCACCCGGTGGGATTTCGCTGAATTGCTGGACAGATTGCTCCCCGTTCCGGAGGCCGTGGAGGCGCTCATGAGACAGCTATTCTTGGCCGTTTGAGCGCGAATTGACGTGCCCTGGAAGTACTTCCTGGGCGGATTTGTGTTCTTGAGTTTCGTCACTCTATGATCTTCTGACGAATTCGTCACGACCGACGTGTCTGACTTGAAGGATGTCGTCGAGAGATTTGATTTGCTGTCTGACTGGTTCACATCGTCAGATATTGGGGACTTCTCTGTATCGTCTGGTGGGGATTTCACCTCAGGCACTTCTGTGACACTGGAAACCTCTGAGCTCTTCACCATTTGCTCCTCACCAGCCGAATTGGAGACTTGAGGGGTGGCAATTAGTGCCGTGTCACTGTTAACTGGAGACTCTGACCCACAATCTTCGTTGTCTTTGTTCTTTACCACCTCCGTGAGGATTTCCTTCTCAGGATTCTCCATTTTCTCCGGAAAATCCCGCACATCTCGATGCACATTCTTCGAGGGCTTCTTCTTCGTGTCACCATCGTCATCGGAGCTGAAATAGCTCGAGCAGGAATCAATGTTGGGCCCCAAACTCGATCCCGATGATGTCTTCTGAGAGGGAAAGGAATTGTCCAGAAATGGTGCCAGAATTGGTGGCAATCTGAAGAACTCTTCGCCAGCTGTCTCGACAGTCGACATGGAATTTTCATGGGAAGATGATCTTGTGTGCTTCTTCTCTCTCTTCTGACCAGCAGGAGTCTTCAGACGCGACGGCTTCTTCGACGAGACACTCTCACTCGTGTTACTTTCCACCTCATTGTCCTTCGCGGCCAGGATTGTGGTTGTCACGTTGCTGCTTCCGTGGCTCTTCTTCGCCAATCGATTGAGATTCGATTGCTGAGAGCGCAGCAACTCCCAATTGGTCCTCGCATTGGAGATCACCTCTTCTCGCCTGATGCTCTGGCCCACGTCACTGCTGATGCTGACGTAGTTAGAGTCGGAGGTCTCTTTGTTCTTCCTCCACGCCATGGCGGCGCGTCTCACCTGCTCAGTGACCTGCATCTGGCTCAGAGACACCAAGCATGGCAAGTAGCTGACCAGGAATGACACGCAATCGCCCGCCAGAGACACAGGATTGTTCTCAATGGTGACTTCCTTGAGATTTATCGCCTTGGCGATGCATGACATCTCTTCCACGCGCTGCAGATCGTTGTGGCACAGCCACAGGCGCTCCAGACTGCGGAGATCGTCAAAGCCGGAAATGCGCTTGATGCGATTCCGCTTGAGATTGAGTTCCTTGAGGTTCAGAAGTCCGGAAAAGTCATTGGCGCTGATGTGGCGAAGCTGATTCCCGGCCAGGTTTAGAGATTTGAGTTCTTGCAGACGACAGATTTTCTGGGTAATGCTGGAGATTTTGTTCCCGTGCAGATCCAGCACGCGAAGGGTGTTCTTCAGCGATATGATGCCAGAGATGTCGTGGATACGATTCTTCCCCAGCAGCAGTACTGTAAGGCTCTTGAGGCCATCGAGATTGGCTATTTTGTCTATTTGATTGTCGTACAGATCGAGAAAGACAAGGTTCTGCAGACTCACGCTGAAGCCGCTCATGTCAACGCCCTCGGGCATGGGTGGGATATTGGTCTTGCTCACCGGAAAAGACTCACTTGTAGCCACGGCACTGCCGGGCCTTGTGGGCTCCGCCGTGGCGACCGGGAGTGTCTGGGTCTTTCCTGTGGGCATCTTCTCGGGCGGCAGTGTCTTGCCCAGTGTGAGTGTGGAGGACATGAAGCTGTTGGACCTCTTGAGGATGTTCTTCTGGTTCACTGACAACAGGATGGATTTCTGCACCAGCGGAGTGACAGAATTGGGCGACGTGAAGCCTGGTGAGTTGGTGTAGCTGATGCCGAGGGTGCTCTTCATCGAATTGATGAGCGGCGTGGGATTCGTGGGCATGAGACTCCGCACGGGACGCTGGCTGAGATGCAATTGCTGCCTGGGAACTAATTTCCCCGTGGATGGCCCGCTCGTGGGAACTGGCGGTGCTGGTGGAGGCGGAGGCTGAGCTGGTGGTGGCTTGCTTGGCTGAATCTTGGGCACTTCAGTCTCTGGCTGAGCTTCCACCTTTGTCTCCTCGCCGGAAGCGACATGAGGCACGTGAAAAATATTTATGAGATTGTGCTGAAGCGACAGAAGGCGCAAATTGGGCTCATTCTCAATAAACGGGATCATCGTGAGCCCCCTCCTGTCCAGATTGATCCTGTCTGGCAGCTTGAGCTTATCCTGATCCGTTCTCTTGATCCTGCACACACCATTCTGTGTCTGCATCCAAGACACTCCATAGCTAGACAGTGGTTTCTCCTCACTCCCATTTGCCAGCTGCACATTCCGTCGGGATTCGTTGAGCTTCTTCACCAGAGCCACACTCAGAGTGCTGTGTGACCTTTTTGCCAATTTGCTGCTACGGCTGCCAATTTTCGGCACCACCGATTCGATCTTCAACAGCGTCTGGGCGGTGGGTGTACTATTGACTAGAATTGCTGATTTACCGCGGATTTTAGTGGCTGGCATTAGAAGAAAATCACAATAACACGAAAGCCAGAAGGTGTCCTGAGATTCCTCCCAAAATTCACTAAATTATACTATCTACGGGTGGGAAATACATTACACAACGCCTCATGACTAGAGAATGTGGATACACCAAGGCACAGTTGCAGAAAACCACAGAAAAGTGGAGAAAATTGTGATTTTCAGAAAATTTTCACTGCCCGACCAAGTTTGTTTATTGAGGTTATGTGAGCCAATCTTGAAAATTCCACCAGCTTGCCAGATGGCAAACAAACAGCTCGATCTTGAGGCTGAAATATCAAATTTCCTTCAATGATTCTATCAACACACGCTAAAACCGTGGTTGTATGAAATTGCAGAAGGCTAAATTCACTTTGTTTCCGCAAAAAAGCGTTCAATTTTCTCGAGAAATTTCGGGTGATTTTCCCACCATCGCCTCTGGCAGCACTGCTAGAATATTTTTCTGGGACACTTTGGGACAAGCCGGCGGCCATTGTGAGTTTTGACAGCCGAGGTGGAAAAAGAAGAAGAAGGAGAGGCCATTGCTACGTCTGCGGCGATAGAGACATTCTTTGCGGAGTGATTTTGTGCTTAAATACTGTGAAAGGGACACAAAAAGTGGTGTAAGAGGTGAGAAAACGTGTCCACAGAGACAATCACAAGTGATACGTTGGACAAAGTGTCAATTTGTGCCCAGAAGACTTGTGGAAAAATCCATTGCAAATGTCAGCAGGCGTGTCAGATCAGGTACAGTTTCACTTTGCCGATCCTTTCTTTGCCAAACCCCGCGCCGGATTTCTCGGAAGTGCACAAAGATGTCCGGCCGGGGTGGTGGCACACCCGGCAAATCTCACTAATGCACCTCTCTGTGTCTCCTTGCAGCGAATGAAAGGACAAGGAAATCAAGGTGAGGCCTTTTTGCTCTCTCTCTCTCTTTTGTGACGTAGACAGAAAAACTACGCAGACTAGCGGCGGAGTTCCGGGAGGCCGCCGCGGTGCCCCCACGGGGCATCGGTCATGGTGCGGGTGGGAGGGCGCGCAGTGGCGGCGGGCGAGGAGTCACTCCCGGGGAATCCGATCGCTGGCCGGGCGTTCGGTGAACTGTGAGAAGTGCCAGAGGCTGAAGAGAGTCGATCTCCCGTGATCCATCAACGTGTCAATCATCTTTCCATGCACATCAATTGCGGGCGCCCGGAGTGACTCAGTCGCGGCGAGAGAGTGTGTGTTTGTGTTTGTGGGAAAAATACTTCCGGCCTGACCTTCTGTGTGCCTCTCTATCGCTCTCAATATCACAAGCGACTCACGCTCTGAAGTCTTATCTTCCCTCTGAAAAAGGCCGTCTTTGTGCAGAGGAGGGAATTCCCAATGCATTTTCTGCCATTAGGATTTGACTGCAGAGATGAAAGTGTGAGTGCGTGAAGATGTAAAGTGAAATTTGTGTGAATTTCCACGCAATAAGACGCTGAAATCGTCAAACTATCGAAAGTGTTTATTGAGAATTTCACTGCAAAACATTTGATCAGACACACGCAGCCTCTCAATCGTGAGTGGAAAGTGTGTGTAGACAAACAAACAAACAAACAGACAAATTGATGATAAGATAGTGGGATTTTAAGTCACATTCCTAGATTGACAGAGATTAGGAAAAGTAGGTCTTGTAAGTCCAAAGAATTGGTGGAAAGCATGTAAGAATCAAATTAGATAATTGTGAAAGTCCAGTAAGCATCCAATGGTTGTTTACTGAAGCATCCGTTGCATTGCACTGGTGGAACATCAACAAAAGTACAGCAGCTCAAAAAGTTTTGTTTACAAAAAGCTCTAATTAATGAATGAGCACCTTTGGATAATTTTTTTTTAATTAATTAATCAGCAGATGAAATTGAAAAGCATGAAAAAGTCTTCACGATAAGAAAAGCAATTTAGATAAATTTTTTCTCAAGTCAGATCCAATTACCAGTGAAGAGTGTATATTTCACTGTGTTTTCTCCTCTTTTGCATCGCGAATCATCATTAAATTTGTTAGTGTTTGTTGAGCAAGAAGAGTTTTCATCTGGCATTCGCGTTTGTATTGGAGAAGCATTTTATTTACCAGACAAGCTGTGTAAACGGTGAGAAAAGAACGATGGGGTGTTAATTGGTGAACTTCTCGCTGTTTGAGCGTCTTCCTAGACATGTGGATTGATTGATATTCTTTGATTTTGAGCATTCTGAGCATATAAATTGCGTCTGCAACAATGTTGCGTTGAGTGAGTCGATTTTGAGGCACACAGAAGAGCGTGTTTGCAGCGTTGTGGTTGAGAAATTGAGAGTATATCGTGATTAAAATTCGCATCATATTTGTATGCTGGGGAGCATTTTGCACTATAAAGAAGGAGTTGTCTTCTATTCACCGTTCATCTCTTGTTTCATTCTTATTCGCGAAAACGGAGAAAGAGGGAGAGGAAAGAAAATGAAGAGACTGTTGCTGAATGTTTTTTTTTTCTCTGTTTAGAGATGTCTTTTTGCTTTATATGTCTTGAGATATGCTTCGTACATTTTATTGGGAATATGTGTTGTGTTGTGGGGTTTTGCGCGGAATGAAGACAAAGCGAAAAGAAAGTGTATGTAAAATAAGGTATTAATTTTGATGTAAATATATATTGTTTGAAAAAAAAACATGTATAATCTAGATCATAGCGATGAATATGAATCGTGGAGACACCAACCGGGAAATTATGTACCAACGGATCACAACAATACAGGTGTGTTTTCTCCACAGCATCGGGTCATTATCCTTGGAATGCTTCGGGGTTTTTGTTAAGTTTTCTATTCTCTGTGTAGACACTGTGTGTGAGAGAGAGAGAGATTTCCTGGAAAAAGTGGGGAACTCTATGGATCTCTGAACGTTCTCAGAACAATGACCTGAGGCTGGTCGTCGTATTGAAATCAATGAATAGAATATAGGAGAAAGACAATAGCAATCAATAGAAAATATGCAAGAGTCTGTAATGTGAAATGAAAGGACGATGAACGTGTTGATTTTGGAAGTGTAACTCCTTTAGCAGTATGAGTGGGCGGATTAATGAGTATCTCTGTGTGTTTTCTCTCTCTCTTGTTTGCCTTGAATGCAGGAGCTCAATTCCAATATCCACCATTTGGCGTAAGCGATGGCACCTGGTCGAGCGGAAATGAGAATTTAGCAATTCTAGGCGGATACTCAGCAGCGCATGATAACTATGGCGTCGACATGTTTGGTCCGTCCTTTGGACAACAATCCTCGTACAACTACTTCCCGGGGAACGGGGACTACAACACGTGGGGCTCACAGCAGGTTAATGCGAATGCGGGTGGACCACAGCAGCAGCAACAGCAGCAGCCGCCGCCGCCGCAGCAGCAACAGCAGCCGCCGCAGCGCAAGCACTATGATGACTACTACAGAGATCAGGCATATGCGCACGACAGTCTCAAGGCGATGGAGCAGGGTATGCAGGGACTGGGACTCGAGATGGCGGGTGGTCAGCATCACGACAAGGAGGCCACATCGAACAGTGTCAATTCCAAGGCGTCCCACCACGATCACCCGTCTCATCAGCCGAAAGAAAGTGTCCCCAAAAAGATGACATGGGCCTCGGTGGCGTCGCAGCCCGCCAAGCCGCAGGTGAACACGACCACGTTGACGGTGAAGAAGAAGGGTCCTGGCATGCCGCCGCCGCCGATGGTGCCGGGCAAGCACAATCTGGACATCGGCACGTGGGACTCGCCGTCGAAGAATGGCCCACTGGTGCCGCCGCCTGTGGTGACGGCGCCCCCGCCACCTGTCGTCCCATCGCCGCTGGTGGTGAATAATCAAAAGGCCGCCGGCCAGCCGAGCGCTTCCACCAATCACCCGGGCATGGGGCCACCGCCGCCGCAGATGCACCAGAACATGGGACCGCCGCCGCCCAATGATGGACCAAACAATCAAAGCATGCGCCCAGCCTGGTCAGGGCCCAACAGACCGCCCATGCAAGGACATCCGGGCATGGGCATGCCGCCGCCGCCGCATCAGCGATCCATGGGTCACGGCAGCCACGGTGGTCAAGGTGAGAATGTCTTCAGCGTTGACTGGGAAGTTTTCCTAACAGAGCAATTTTTCGAGTCCATTTCAATTAATTCCCTCAAAACCTTGTCTGTCGGCCTCAAGGAGTTGAATTTGAGTAGAAAGATAAAATGTTGTAAGCCCTAAATAAGGCGTTTGTTTGCCGCATTAAGTCTAGAGAGATTCCATAAGTTAAGCGAGGCGAGTGTACTTTTGGCGTGAGAATTAACTGTTCTCTGACACATTTATTTATTTCGTTATCCTCACAAATAACTGACGCCTCGAAGAAGCCATGATCTCACTCAAAGTCTCTCGTCTGACTTGCTTTTGAGAAGCATATGATGAGAGTGTTGTATAAATATTGCGTAAAATCATTTAAAGTTTGCAAAACAAGTCACAAGGTTGTAGACACAGTGGATTTGGAGGAGTATATTTGAAGCAAAAGTGGAAATATACGAAAGGTTTTCGTCGAGAGAAGTGTTTTCAATATTACAGACTTGTTGATTCATCAAATCGTAAGGAAATATCAATTCTCAAAGTCAAATGTTAGAATGATATTGAAATGCAGAGTAATACAAAGTCTCTCTAGCGAATTATTTTAAAGAGAGTCAACTATTTCTAATCTACGAGTTATTTTTGTCTGTAAATGATTACGCTAATCAATTTGATTGCTCTGTGTTGTTGAAATGATCTGGCACAAGTTTAGAGTGCCTTCTGACCGAGATCCAGTCAATTGACTCTGGAGATTGTGCTTGTGTGAAAAATGGGGAATTGATGATGAAATGTGATTGGCTTTCAGGTCCTCCGCCGATGATGATGTCGGGTGGATATCAAGGACCGCCGCCGAGTCATCAGCAGGCAATGCCCCCGCCGCCGGCGTCGGGAAAAATGCCACCACCGTCACCATCGGCGATGTCCGCCAGCGGCGTCGTGCCGGCCAATGTTCTCGAGAAGCTGCGGGACAAGAACAACTACAATCCGCTGGAGCTTGACCTCGACAGAGTAGCTAATGCGAGGTAATGTGGGATTAATCTCTCGCTCGTCTGTCATCAATCAATGGTTGCGAGTGAATCTCTGAGAGTGGATGAGAAATTCTTTCTTTTTTCTGTCTCTTGCAGATTTTTCGTGATTAAATCCTACTCTGAGGACGACATACATCGTAGTATTAAATATGAAATCTGGTGCTCCACTGAACATGGCAATAAGAGACTCGATCAGGCGTTTCGTGAGCGTGAACGTGAGACTGGCGTAGTGTATTTGTTCTTTTCCGTGAATGGATCCGGACACTTTTGTGGTATTGCCCAGATGTTGAGCAATGTGGATTACAATTCGAATTCGAGTGTGTGGTCGCAGGATAAGTGGAAGGGCACGTTCAAAGTGAAGTGGGTGTATGTGAAGGATGTGCCCAATATGCAGTTGCGCCACATTCGCTTGGAGAATAATGAGAACAAATCTGTGACGCACTCGCGTGACACACAAGAGGTGCCCCATGCCAAGGGGATTCAGGTGTACAAGATCATCCATGCCTACAAGCACACCACGTCGATCTTCGATGACTTCATACACTATGAGAAGCGCCAGGAGGAGGAGGACTCGCGCAAGCACGTCGAGCCGCCGCCCAATCAGCCGTACGAGCGACACTTTGGCAACCACAACAGTCCATACGACAAGCCACACCATGGATATGAGCGCGGGGGTGGCGGAGGTGGATACGATAAGCCGCCGATGAAGAGCTACAGTCGAGGTGAGAAAGAAGTTTACACAAAACAGACACACAAACACACACGACGACACAAAAACTCGGAATAATTGCATTCGTGCAATTGAGGATGCAATTATTCACAATCAAACTATAATAATATTCTGAAGAAGCATTCGTTTTTCTATACACGAAAATTCCTTGGGTGGCAATTTAAATGCTCTTTATTGCAATTTTCCAATGGTTTCTCACGTTTCACCATTCATATACACATAGTTTCTTTTATTCTCTCTCTTCGTGCATAATGAAGGGAATATTCGAAAAATGTTCTTCCACTTGAATATGATTTACTGCCAGAGAGGAATTGTCTGCATATGGAGGAATGTTTGGAATGTATTTGGGAAGGAGATAAGATTAGCCCAAATATGGCAAAGCCAATAAAACTCACTTGAAGTTCTGACACTTGGGAGGTCATTCAACTGCTGAGAGATGTTGAGAAAATGAGTGTTGACGTCTTGTGTGTGGCATTTCAATAAAGATCTGTAATTGGCGCTCAAGTTTCGACACGTAGGATGATGATTTATCATTATTCTGCTCACTTTTGAGATAAGAAAAGTATTATTTTGGTAGAAAATTAGTGATTTGTTTGATACACAAGTGTTTCTGCGGTTTTTTGGAAAGCAATAATCATTAATTTTATAGCGTTTGATTAATTTGTTTGATGAGAAATTATAACCACAGAGATTGAGATACAAATACTGTCTATGATGATGGAGAGTGGAAGAATTCTTTTTCACACATTTATTACATTGGATAATCAGCACAGTTTGTACATTAGGTTTGATACTTGAGAATATGATCTCTGATTGATTCTTCTGATATTTTCAGGTGGCGGATACGATGGGAAGCAACAGTACAGCAACTACGACAATCGTCGTCCTCCGCCACCGCCGAAAGATCACTACGATGGAGGCTATCATCCTCGTGATCCCGGACAGCAGGACTACAACAGTCGCAACAACAACCGCGAGCCGCGTCCGATGGAGCGCCACGACAGCGGCGGCAGCGGCGGCGGTGGCTACAATCATCGCGACGGCGGTCGAGGAATGGGCCACAGAGAGCATCACAGGGTAAGAAAGCCTGACTTTAGCCTGGCAAGATGAAGTGTCGCTCACTTTTTCTGACTTGCGCTCTCAGGGTGGCCGCGGTTCCGGTGGTGGCAGCAGAGGACATCGCAACTAGAGTGTTTTCCCTTCTTGCTCTATCTTTTGCGAACACTGCGTTTGATGATATCAATTGAGTGTTATTTTCTTTCGCCTAAAACAACAACAAGCAACAATTTATTAGAGAGAGAGAGAATGTGTGTGTGAGGCACAAATGACAGCGCGTGGAAGTGTATTAGCGAAATCACACAAAGGGGAATAATGATGATGAACAGTTGTTTCAATAGTGAGGGGAAAATGGACATTTTGAAAACAATTGAAAAAAGATGTTTCCTATATAAGAAGAAAGAGAAGATGTTTAATCAATATTTGCATCATAATACAAAAAAGTATATAAAAGCATAAAACTAACTCTCAGTGTCCTTTTTCAGAGATAAAATGAACATTTAATAACAGTTGGATTGCTCTCAGCGCTAAAAGAACAGAGGATGTTGTGTGTAACTTTTGTCAAATTCAACGATGTTTTATCAAAACTTAGTGATAGTGCGACGAGGGAGCAAAGTAGATAAATGCAAAGTGTGTGAAGATCGCGTGTGACTAAATCAAATGCTGCTAAATAGACTTCTCCGTGGAGGAGCATCTCTAATCGAAATAGTTGTGCAACACTTTAATGATAAAAATGAAAGTAATTTCGTTGGTTTCCTAAATACGATAAGCCTGACACGATGAATATGTTCAATAACTTCAAAAGAATAGTAAAAAAAAAGAGAAAAACCTCCAGAGGAAATGGCTGAATTTTTCTTACAATTGGAGGCGTTCATAAGGAAAATGTGTGTGAAATTGTGACTAAGTGTAGAGGAATGTTGGACATTTTCTTCCTTTCCCGCAAGACAGTGTTTAGCATATTTCAGGACTCAAAGAAAGTAAATGATAACTTGATGGAACCACACGCAACTCGCCGACAAAAGGAGCAACAAAATCATCTCTTCGTTTTATACAATAAATAAATGAAACACACGCGTTTCAGAGGTAAAAAAAAAGTATGAGAACTTTTAAATTTAAGTCCTAAACTAATGTCATGAAGTAAACAATTTATTTTGTACGTACAATTAAGTCTGGCTAGAGATAGGAAAAAATAAAACACAAAGAAAACGATGAAGGATTTAAGAGAAGTTCTCTTTGAAATGAGATTGAAATTGATTCATTGTACACTCTACGAATGTTTAATGTTAAGGAGATGATGAGGATTGGTTGGAAGATGAACATCTTAACGATGGATGAAGAGAGAAAAATGTATTGCGAAGGACGACGCAGTAAAAAGGAAAAGAAAAGAAAAACATTGTCAAAATTATCCTAAGAGGTGAAGAGAGAGTATAATTAAAGTCTTAAAGATAATCTATATAAAAATTACTATCATGTCCATTTCATATTAAAGAAGAAGAAGAAAAAACTATGTATTAAAATTTGTCAAATGGCAAGAATATTGTGAAGAGAATTGTTTAACATTTTTATTATCTTTTTGCATTGAGACTGCACAGAGGAAGATTTATTAGGAGAGCGCGAAAGTGTGTGTATAATTTCTTGTAGATTATTTGCATAAAAAATATGAACAGAGAGTTGATGCTTGTAGAAATTGAGATGAGACGATAAAGAGAAGAGAAAAAAAAACATGAAGAACAATAAGTACAAATTTGTTGACATAAAAGAAGCCCAAGTAAAGGAAATAAACTCCAAAAGCAGCAGATAGGACACAATTTTTTAAATAGACACTGTTTTATGGATAAACTTTTTGTGTTTCGTAACGAGAGATATAAGAAAGAGGGAGGGAGAAAGAGGCATTGATAATTTGTTGTGTATAAATTATATTCGTCAATAGTGGAAGACCTTTTTGAATGATCCCTGATATGCAGTTTTTTTATTGTGTAGGAAAGGATGAAAAGTTTAATGGGAAGGCGTTGAGAGTGCAAAATGATTAATAAATAAAAAAAAATATGTTTGTGGCCTTTGATTTCTCAAGATAAAATAGATTCAATTGCAAGAGAGTTGATCAAGTTCTTTTTCATAGAAGTGGCATTAGTGTGTTGAATGGGACAAGGAAAATAGTTTAGAGAAATGCAAAAGATATTTGTGTAAATTTGATGAGATTGACAGTGCTTGACATTCAGCATCAAATTATGATTTTAAGTTGTAGCTGAAAGGATTTTTTATATCACCTGTAATAGGAGAAGATGCAAGAATATAATAGACATGCAATTGCTATATCGTAGACTAACAATTTAATTTTTCCTCTTCAGTTTATCCTGTCGATCCTGTCAGTAAAACAATAAGTAATGAATTAATTAGAAAATGAGTACACAGCATACAAAAGAACAAGAACAATGTTTATCTTATATGAATTTTTAGTTACTTATAGATGAGAAAGAAAGTAAATTACATATAGAGTATATATTATGAAAAAAAATTGGACTATATGCAAGAGAAATGACTAAAAATACGCGAATTATGATTGTTTACACTATATTATTGTGAAATTGAGAATGATAGTGCAGAAATGTGGAGTACTTTTATTGAAAAAACTGATGAAATATTGCATATGATTTGAGAAACGAATAACAATTATAAAGAAAACTAATCGAAGAATGCATGAAGATGGAAAATATAAGCGAAAAGTAATTCAAAATCCAATGCATTTTCACTTTATTTCCACGCAACACCAAGAGTTGTTTCCTTATAGCCATTTGGGTGTGTCCGGAAGTCTAAGGAAGAAGCGGGAAGGAGGAAAAGCGCAATTTTCACATGTTTGGTGCAAAATTCTTTGGTGTAATTCTAATTTTCCTCCTTTTATTCCCAAAAGAGAATCAAACAAATATTCGGCTTGCTTTCGCGGCCTGTCGGAAATTTGGAGGGGAAGTGAATTTCGCAGGGGAAATCTCAGCTGTCTGTCAAAAGTTTGGTGCTTGTCGTGAAAATCTTTGGAATCCCTAATCGAGTGCTCAGGATGATGTCTTCAAGGGTGCTTCCGGCTTCTCTGCGACTGCTGCGTCCCTTTAGCCAGAGCGCCTCACCATCGAGCTCCGGAAGCCAGGGAAAACCACCATCACAGCCGGATCCTCTGTCCAAAGTGTCCGGATTGACAACAAACGTTGTTCTGAAGCCCGACGGAGGCAAGCCGGTGGGCCCTGGAGCGTCTCACAATGCCGACTACAAGGTGCCAGAGTACTTCCTGTACGGGAGACACAGCTACCACGAAGCGGAGATTGAGCTGGCGCCCTTCCGGTGTCCTCAGCCTTCTGCCCTGAAGAAGTAACTTAGGTGAATGATTTCATGTACATTATGTAGTTGGAAATAACACGATGAGTCCTGGCAAGCAGGGTGTTTGACTGCTGGGCGAAATGCCCAGGAAATTGTGGTTTTTCTCAGGTGGGGGAATCCTAACCTCTCTTTGTTATGTAATCAATTGATCAGAGTAGACAATGCGAGAGTTGTTGACGCGGCTTATCTTTGAGTGATTTCGCTGACAAACACGCCAGAAAAAACAGACGGAAAGATCGAGTGGGTGAAAATGGGTGATCATCTCGATGTGGTCGTCTTCGGGAGCTGTAACATGGACCTGATCAGGTAACCACTCACCTGTGCCAACAATAACTGCAGTGCTAATGAATTTCTTGCTCCCCAGCTACGTCCCACGGCTTCCAAGAGTCGGTGAAACCATTCATGGCTCCAGATTTGTCACGGGATTCGGTGGAAAGGGTGCCAATCAGTGTGTGGCAGCTTCGCGACTCGGTGCTCGCTGCGCCATGGTCGGGAAACTCGGTCAGGACTCCTGGGGCCAGGCGTATCGAGACCACCTTGAGCAGGAGGGCATCAATATCAGTCACTTGAGCGTGATTGACGGTCAAACCACCGGAGTGGCTCCGATCAGTGTGTCTGAGTCCGATGGAGCAAATCATATCGTGATTATCGTTGGAGCTAACAATTCCCTCTCCGTAGAGGACGCCAAATCCGCTGCCGAGAGCTTCACGGCACGAGTCCTGGTGTGTCAGCTTGAGACTCCCATCGAGGCCACAATTCGAGCTCTTGAACTCTTTCCCGGCACTTCAATTGTCAACGCTGCGCCGGCTCTTGAGAACACTCCGCAGGAACTCCTCAAGTTATCCACGATTTTCTGCGTTAATGAGTCTGAAGCTGCTCTGATGACTAAACTAACAGTGGAGAGTGTTGAGGATGCGAAGAGAGCTGTAGAGAGGCTACAGGAAATGGGCGCCAACACAGTAATCATCACTCTTGGAGAGAATGGCGCAGTTTTCCGGGAGAAATCATCTCCGCACACTCTCCATGCGAGAATAGCGCCTGTGGACTCAGTGGTGGATACAACAGGAGCTGGGGATGCCTTCGTGGGAGCTCTGGCTCATCTGCTGGCTAAGCTGGAGGGCCAGCGAGTGCCTTTCGGACAGCTCATGGCTGGTGCTTGTGAGATTGCGTCGATGTCAGTGAAACTCCCGGGAACGCAGTCGAGTTTCCCACGCATTTCGGGATTTGAACAAGATGTTCCCAAAAGAAAGTATGATTTGAGCAAGATTTGATGATCATTCGAGTATTCTATAAACTATGATGAAACCACAATTGTGTCCTTCTTCGACCTCTGGCTTCTGCCCTTGCTTGAACTCATTACATGCGTTTGGCCTGAAGTGGAGTTTCGATGGAACGCCGCGCTCTCGACTGCTTCAGCAGTCATAAATCTGGAGGGTGTGAGAATGAAAATTAATTGACACGGAGTCAATGATGACTAAGTGGCGGAGAAAATCTCTCAATTGCCAGCGCTGAAGATGTGGAGAAGTTGAAAAAGAGGTGACGCTCTAGCTGTGGAGCGCTAAAAGGCCATAAATCACGCTCCCGAAGGAATTATTTGATAAATAAGCGTGATTAATGAGCATTAGAGTTAGTTGGGTGGTGCATAGCAATTGTGCAGCAATGTGTGAAGCGATTTAATTGCTTTATCAACCCCAATGGTGCCGCAATTTGAAGACAAATGGAATTCAAACACTTTAAATGTTTGTGCAATTTGCACCCAAGTATGTTGTCCCAATGCGGATCAATTCTCACAAATCACTGTATTACAGGCAACAGTATTTAATTGATTGTAATCATGTAATGTGCACATTTTTCGGCTTTCTCCACATCCCATTGGGGATACACAATTAAATGCAATGCGTATTTCAGCAGTGATTTCATCACTAAATCCTCATTAATATGCATTTAATTTCAAAGGGGATTATCGATTGCATTTCTGTGGTTGTTTTTTTGCCCTGCCACTGTTTTAATGTGTAATTCGAGTGGAAACAAAGTGGCACACACGAAATGTTCACTTCACTGCAAAAATAAAGATTATATTATTTATCGAATTGATGCTAAATAGTTTAGCATAAAATAGCAAGCGAATGCAATTTAGCAACAGAAAATATTTTAATGTAATGAACCGCGCTTAAGTTTTTTATTAAAAAATTTTTGGATGATATAAAAAATAATATGTTCCCTTGCGAAATTTCATATTTCATCAAACATTTGGCTAATTGAAAACGTGCAGAATGTTTTCATTTAATTTATAAATTCACAGTGTGCTTTGCATGGTTCATTTTCGCTTGACAACTTTTCATTCTCCCACAGATTTGTTTAAGCACAAAGTCCATTCTTATGTCTGCAATATACAACGTATTAACCAATTACTGAACTTCCTCCGAAAGTTATTTAATTGTTTGTTTATGAAGTTACGAGACTTAGGAGAAGTCGGGGTAGTTTCAGGTTACATTTCACAGAAATTTCTTGTCATGTTTTTTTTTTTGAAGTGCTATGAAAGAATTAATTCTGAAATTCTCCTTAAATATTTGGGCTGATATATTAAGGTTATTTAAATGGTTTTTCAGTCAATAAATAACGGACGATTTGACAATATTTTAGCAATTTATACAATCAACTATTTTATGCAGCGCTTTGGGAAAGTTTAATCCTTCTGTAAACCTCAGCGGAGCGCTATGATTTACGACGACCGGCGCCCCGGGCGGAGTGCACACAGCCCACGGAGGGCAAACAGTTGATGGTAATACTTCATGGTGATCCGTTGATGCGTGCAGAATCACTTTAGATGCGAGAAAACAGTGGCCCTAGTGGATCTAATCGAGGATCTAATCGACGAAAGGGAGTGGTTTTATGGTGCACCAATCCAATAATTCTGGCATCCACCCCCTCGCTATCTGTGAGCAAACACCCACCCCGGATTATTAATGGGAAATTATTCAGTGGGCCACCGCATGAGCAGGAGCCGAGCGATGGTGGCAGCCGGAAGCATGGGGGAGTGTGGGTGGGTGGGTGGAGAAAGTGTGTACAGGAAAAACCCTTGCACAGCACATTGTGAGCTCGTCCTTTTGTATTTAAATGGTTAGCTGAATTACCACCTTTTCAACTCCCATCGCACTAAATGCACACTCCATCCTGTGTGTTTATGATGGAATAACCATTTAATCGATATTGTAATTATGCAAAATGCAAATTTAATTCAAACCTCATTGTAGCCACCTTCACTTGCATTAATTTCCCAATCACATTTCCTCTTCCTCCCACGTCTGGCATGTCATCCGCCGCCGCCCTTCAAGCGGCCCACAGAATATCCATGCATAAACTCAAGTCATCCCAATCTCTGGAGCCTCTGGGCTCTTTTTCGGGGGCGCGACGGCAGCGGGAAGTATTTGAGGAGTTCTTGGCAAACAATTTGCAAATGTTTCTCGTGTACTCATTGGATATTTTAATTAGAAAATTTCTTTTATATTGACGTAAACAACACGAGAACTGGCAGCTTTTGGGAAATTAATATGTATAGACAGCGAATATTGTTAACAACGGCAAAACTCAATGAAATGCAGGAGAATTTATATAATATCAGGATAATGATTTTCATTGAAAATGCTGTAATTATTTTCAGCTGAAAATACCCTTTATTTAAACTCCTCCTAATTTACACACAATTAAATGAGTGTTATTTTTTAACACAGAGTATTCGATCATATTTGCTATGCCATTGAGTGCCGAGAAAAATTCACTTCCTTCAACAATGCTCTGACTTTTGGGAAAGTTTGCCGGCTGCACTTGATTGCGAAGGCTCGAGAGGTTGGTATTTTACGTTCAATGAAAAATTAAATTTTTAATTCTTCCCAAGTGGAAAACGGCACAGAGGCGAGAACAGCGAGGAGAAATAAAATTTACTGTAGCGATATAAAAGGTATCCCACTTCGGAAAACAATTCAATGAGCTGGAGAGAAATCGTGTGCCACCCATTTCACTGCCTCACACTCCCTTGCCATCCTTGCTCCTGGCCTATAGTTGAAGAGAGCCAAGGGAGTTGCTCGTCTTTTTTTTTGTTGCTGTTCATGAGGCACATTTTGGCGAACAGTGAATATTTTTTGCCAACCTTTTTCTTGCAACATGATTTTTACCTACACAATTACACAAACTACTGCATCCCAGAGAGAGAAAGAGAGAGAGAGAGTAGGGAATAAACTGAATTATCTGCAATAAAAATGTAAATTGGACTGCATAATTCAGTGGAGCATCATGTTTTTCCCTCGTGTTTTTTATTGTATGGACGAATTGGGTAATGGAATGAGCTGGAAAAAGAGTTGACCAGGGATATCACAAAGTTCGGTACGGGAAGAGGAGGATCGTTAAATGCATATTTCAGTGGATGCTCTAAAAAAAAATCCACAACAATTGCCTTCTGTGGCTCTTCGGATGAATCAAATTGGGAATGGTCGATAGTGCCAAAGCAGAGGATAAGCAATCACTGTGGACTTTAACACCCGAACTCCAACGCGCGGCTCTTTCATGGCAATTTTAATTATTCACAAGCGTAAATGTATTCTTTAACGAAGAGAAACAATTATTTTATTGATTTGCCTCTCTCTTAGCAGTCTTATACAGATTTTGAACAAAAGTTGTGTGCGCTCAACTGAGTTTTCCCGAAGATTAGAAAGCATTAGGAGAGAAGATTAACACAGAAATTCCAGTATTAACCTCCAGATTAGAAAAGTATGCACTTCTAGTATGCTTTAAGTAAATACTAAATAATAAATAACCCCATGCAATAGTTCAACTTTCTCTTTGCCGTTGGCACAGTTTGTGCAAAGCAAATATATATACAAAATTTAGCAGGAATTAAATTTTTACACAATTCCTGGTAATTATAGAAACTACATAAATCTATGGCGATGTGGATTTACGGACGTGCACGATAAAATCTGTGGGTTGTCCGTTCGATTGGTTCGCAAAACATAATGCAAAGCACAAAAGCACAATAATTCGATTTATCCGAAAATGTAATAATCTTATTTAACAGTTGCACTCCAGCCAATGACTGATTGCGTGCAATTAACACGTAAAATGCATAACCGGCACTCATGTTCGGCACAGTTTTCATTTCAATTCCACATATTTTGATAATGGAATTGAATAAATGAAGGGAGAAATGAAATTTTCCGCCGTATGGCATAATGTGTAATGTTCCAAATTATTCACTCCACGGTAAGTATTAATTCATATCGAATAAATTCATTAATTCCTAATTAGAATTTCTCTGTTCGCTGAGAATTTCGCACGTAAGGCCATTGCCGCAGAATTTGCTGTATTTCAAACCTAAACTCCATTTTAATTGCACAGGAATTGTGCGCGGGTGGGAGAAGGGGAAATGGGGCAGATATATTCATGAAATATTTTTCTTTGTAATCCACACTTTTGCTTTAAATCCACCTTCCGCGCCCTGATTTGAATTTAGACACAGACACTGGAGGTGATGGGTGAATTTTTTTTAGGGACGCGCCCGCGGGCATTTATGGAGCTTCTGGCCCCACTTTCTAAACACTTCCACCGCTGAGGATTTATCTTCAGCAGTGGAGAAATCAAATAACATCACGCAGACGTTTTTTTTCCCCTTGAACCGTCACTTGACTTGAGCGTCCTGACGTGACTTTGCCATTGTTCCGCATCTCGCTTGGCCACGGTTTGTAACCAAAATAGCAAATGCAGGATATTTCTTCTCCTCATCCGTGCGATGCCTCCATGCTGCCATTCATCTCATCGTCAAGCCTGCAAATTATTTTCATCATCCTGACAATGATTACACACATTTTGTGGCTGCGCTCTGTGGGCGTTCAATTTGGTATTCAAGAATGAGCGACAGTCGAAAAGCAGAGCTGAAGGTAGAAAGTCAAGGTGAAGAGGAAAGTAGCAGGAAGACGCCAGGAAAACATCCTCCGCAAAGGAATGCGGTGGGAGTTTGATACAAAAATCTCATTTAAATTTATTCCCTCTACCCTGATATGATTTTAATATCCTATGCACGATATTTGTGGCTCCGAATGAAGTTACTACGTCAAAGTGTCTTATTTATACATTGAGTATCGCACATGGTGATTTCTGAGGATTTCCCTTCCCATCATATCCATCGGAATGATTGAGCATGGAAGCAGATATTGAGGAAATTGACTTTTTGGGGGATAAGCGAAGAGATAAGGTGGGATTTTGTCCTTTGATTTTTTGCATATGCAAACGAAATGTCTCTTCCACCATCGATTTAATCTTCAAAGGTGCGATGCTTTCTGCTTTATGTCTACAATAAAATGGATTAAGAGAGGAGCTGAGCTAATATGAGTTTTTTTTGCAAAGTTTTGAGAAAATATCCATCAGTGTTCGAACAATTTCTGCTCAAAATTGCCCTGGTTTTCCTTATAGACGCGTATTTTTGAGGGATTTCCTGTGAGAATTGGAAAACCGTAGCTCAGTGATGTTCTAATTCTTC